TTCTGTATAGATCCATCTTTATTTCTCCAATATTTCAAATCATGCTATACTACTGTCCTAAGATTCAGCCCAGAAGGTATTTCCATACAGAGAATTTTACCATTTCAAGGAACACCTTGATAACACATATCAAGCCTTTGTTGTGACCCAAGAGTTTAAAAATGTGAAAGATTAATCCCTTATTTATTCAGAATTCAGAGGTAAATTCAACTTTGGTTTTTAATAATAATAATGATGATGGTGGTGGTGGTGGTGGTGGTGGTGGAAGGGACCTTGGAGGTCATCTAGTCCAACCCCTTGCTCAGGCAGGAAACCCTATACCATTTCAGACAAATGGCTGTCTAGTCTCTTCTTAAAAACTTCCAGTGTTGGAGCATTCACCGCTTCTGGAGGCAGGTTGTTCCACTGGTTAATTGTTCTAACTGTCAGGAAGTTACTCCTGAAGTTCTAGATTGCTTCTCTCCTTGATTAGTTTCCATCCATTGCTTCTTGTCCTGCCTTACGGTGCTTTGGAAAATAGCTTGACTTCCTCTTCTTTGTGGCAGCCCGAGATATTGGAACACTGCTATCATATCGCTTGTCCTTCTCTTCATTAAACTAGACATACCCAATTCCAGCAACCGTTCCTTATATGTTTTAGTCTCCAGTCCTCTAATCATCTTTGTTGGTCTTCTCTGTACTCTTTCTAGAGTTTCAACATCTTTTTACATCATGGTGACCAAAACTAGATGCAGTATTCCAAGTGTGGCCTTACCAAGGCATTGCAAAGTGGTATTAAACTTCACGTGATCTTGATTCTATCCCTCTGTTAATGCAGTCTAACACTGTGTTGGCTTTTTTGGCAGCTGCAGCACACTGCTGGCTCATATTAGTGATTGTCCACTAGGACTCAAAGATCCCTCTCACAATTGCTACTATTGAGCAAGGTACCCCCTATACTATACCTGTACATTTGGTTTTTCTTGCCTAAATGTAAAACCTTACTTTTTTCACCATTGAATTTCATTTTGTTAGATAGCGCCCAGTGTTCAAGTCTGTCCAGATCCTCCTGTATCTTAAGCTTATCTTCTGGAGTGTTGGCTATTCCTGCCAGCTTGGTGTCGTCTGCAAATTTGATGAATTCCCCATCTATCCCCTCATCCAAATCGTTGATGAAAATGTTGAAGAGCACTGGACCCAGGACAGAGCCCTGGGGCACCCCACTACACACTTCCCTCCATGTAGATGCGGTTCCATTGAGGACCACACGCTGAGTACGGCCGGTCAGCCAGCTACGAATCCATCTGGTGGTGATGCTGTCTAACCCACATTTTTCTATCTTATCGAGTAGTAGGTTGTGATCTACTTTATCAAATGTCTTACTGAAGTCCAAGTAAATTATATCCACAGCATTCCTCTGGTCTACTGATTTTGTTACTTGGTCAAAGAATGCAATAAGATTTGTCTGGCATGATTTGTTTTTGACAAACCTATGTTGGCTTTTAGTAATGACCTTGTTTGCCTCTAGGTGTTCACTGATTCGTTGTTTGATTATCTTTTCCAAAATCTTCCCAGGTATTGAGGTCAGGCTGATAGGTCTGTAATTTCCTGGATCTATTTTTTTCCCTTTTTTGAAGATGGGAACTACATCAGCTCTTTTCCAGTCCTCTGGTAGTTCCCCAGTGCTCCAGGATCTTTGAAAAATATAGTTCAGTGGTTCCGAGATCACATCTGCCAATTCCTTGAGAACCTTGGCGTGTAATCCATCTGGGTCCTGGTGATTTGAACTCATCTAGGCTGGACAGGTGCTCACTTACCATTTTCTTGCCTATCTTAACTTGTGTTTCTATTCTGTTTTTTATGGTACTGCTATTGATAGGTTGGACTGTTTTTTCCCTTTGTGTAAAGACAGATGCAAAAAACGAGTTAAATAGTTCTGCTTTCTCCCTGTTGCTTGTCACCTTCTTGCCACTTTCTCCCACTAATGGACCAATCATTTCCTTAACTTTTTTCTTGTTTTTTACATGTTGAAAGAAGCTTTTTTTGTTATTTTTGACTTTGGTCGCAAAACTTAGTTCATTTTGAGCCTTAGCTTTCCTCCCTTCATCTTCGCAGGCTCGGACTACTTGCTGATATTCTGCTTTAGTTATGGGCCCCTTTTTCCACTTTTTATACTTGTACTTTTTATCTTTCAATTTATCAGAGAGTTCTTTATGCAGCCATGCTGGTTTCTTTTGAGAGCTGTTATTTTTCTTCTTTGATGGTATTGTGCTAGACTGGGCTTTTATTATCTCACTTTTCAAAATTTCCCAAGCTTCTTGAGTTGTTTTCCCCTTGAGGATTCTCATCCATGGAATCCTTCCCAAGCCCTCTCTAAGTTTATTGAAATTAGCTCTCTTAAAGTCTAAGACTCTAGTTTGACTGTGTTCTATTGCTTGTGCTTGCATAATGTTGAAATCCAATATTGCATGATCACTTTCCCCCAAGGTTCCTATGGCTTTAACACCTTCCATCATTTTATCTCTGTTAGTGAGGATTAGATCCAATATGGCTAATCCCCTAGTTCCCTTCTATACTTTTTGGGAGACAAAGTTGTCTGCTAGGTTCGTCAGGAATCTGTTTGATCTTCCACTTGATGCAGAGTTGTCTCCCAGTTGATGTCAGGGTAGTTAAAGTCCCCCATTACTATTGTGATGTGCTTCCTACATACCTTAGTTAGCTGACTAGCAAAAAGTTCATCTATTTCCTTTATTTGGTTGGGTGGCCTATAGTATACATCTATGGCAATGCCATTTTTCCCCCTTTTAAATTGACCCAAATGCATTCAAGACAGTTTTCATCATTGTTGTGCTCTATTTCTATAGAGATGTAGTTATTTCTTATATAGAGAGCAACTCTACCTCCTCTTTTACTTGGTCTGTTTCTTTTAAATAATTTAAATCCCTCTAGCTGTGTGTTCTATTTGTGGGTTTCATCCCACCATGTTTCCGTAATGGCAACAATGTCATATCTGCCCTCATTTACCTGAATTTCTAGTTCACCCTGTTTACTGTTCATACTCTGTGCATTGAATCTGCCTCATCCATGGCAGAAATAAGGAAAACTAGGTTTAGCTTTTCTCATTCACCACCAAGTCTCATTGGGAAGATAGTTTGAACCTCTGGAGAGTTTTTGATTTGCTGGCTATACTGTACACAGGGCCTCAGAGACAGCATTTTCCTTGATCAGGTAAAGTCCTTGCAAAGAAGCTGACTTTCAATTATTCTCCAAATTCTCTAAAGTTGAAGATAATGCTGAAACAAAACCGCACAAGGCAGAAGAAAAAAATGATGTGCCTCACGTCATCCAAACAAAATGTAGTTATGGCCAAGCTCCATTTTTTTTTTGCATTGAACATGCACTGAGGCCTTGAACTTATAATTTATTCAGCTAGGCTGACTAGTGATTTTGATTGCATTTATCGTTGTCCAATAAACTCCTTGTTATCTTGAGATCTCCATCATTTTCTTCCCATGATAAGGGAACGTCTCATTAAAATTTTTCCCACTGAGCAAAAATGCGCCATGGCACAGATGTCTGAAGACTGACTAAGGTTTGTTAGCTTAGAATCTGCCTACTTTGAGTAGGAAGATCCTCAAATCCTTTTGTATTTTTTGGGGAGCTGGGCTGAAGAGAAGCCTTGGCTGGGGAAACTAGCAAGTTGTTGATGTGCCAGGAGGATCAAGCTGGGATGACAACCTTCCAGATTTTTTTTTAACTGGGAGAACTTTTGGAAGGTTAATAAACTTAAAATGCATCCTCATCCTCAAGCTGCCACCACCCTCCCAGTTTGCAACATTATTAAAAGGCCATTCTACCCATGACTGAAGCCATTCTCAATTTGTGTAGGCCAGAAGTGACTCAGCTTTTGCTAAAACGTTTAGCAAGGGAAAGCGCTCCCTTATATCAAAATATATCGGCGGGGGTGGGGGGAGGATCACAAGCTCAACTGTAAAGCACTGTGAAGCGATATATAAATCTAAGTGCTATTGCTATTGCTACTGTTTGTCTTTTTTAGTGTTTTTTTATTATTTTTCATTTAAAAAACATAAACATAAATCTTTTATCACAATATCAATCAAAAAGAATAAAATTAAACAAAACATTCACAGACGTGTCTGGTGTACCCCTCCCGCACCACCCTCTTCCACTTACCACTCCTTCCTCCTCCCTAATTCTACCACCACTCCTCCTTCCTCCCTCTTTCCTACTTCCCTTCCACACTCACCCATCCCGTCCTGTGCAGTTGGGGTATCGCCGGACACCTCCATAAAAAAGAATCATACATATAAATCTATAATACAAACCTACCCTTTTCCCCCCTCCCCCCCCCCAGGACTTCCCAAAGCTAATCTAGGAAATAAACACAAAATAATCCAAATCTATTCAAAACTACTCCATATTACTACGCACTAGTATAAACTTGCTATGACTCTAAAATAACATTAAAATACATACAAAAATTTTAATATACATCTTTTGTGCTACTGCTACTGTTTAGACGAGAGAGAGAGACACGTATTCAGGCGTCCCCCCCCGCTAGTTCTTTCTGAATTACGACGCGAGTTCTTCGCAGAAGCGCGGGAAAGGGGGGAAGGCGGTGGGTGGCCGCCTCCCTGGGCGCGTGCCCGCTCCTTGCCCCGCCAGCAGCGCTCGCACGTGAAGGAAGGCTGTGCCTCGGGGTGGGACAGCCGCCGGCAGACGCCTCCTTTTTTTGGGACGAGCGCGGGGCCGGACCCAGGGGGCGGTAGCCGCGGTAGCAAGAGCAGTAGCTGCAGGCAGTTCTGGAGGCAGCTCCAGCTGATCGATGGGGTCCGGACATCCTTGCTCCGCCGTGCAGGCGCTTCTCTTCTTCACCCTCCTCCTCCTCCTCCTGCCGCCGCCGTTCCTGCTACTTACCGCTTCTCCCCAAGGTCAGCTGTGCGCCGCCGGGCTCCTTTCCCCCGGTTAGCAGGCAGGGCGAGCGAGGTGTTCTGTTGGGCATGTCGCGAGTAAAGCTCTTGCGGAGCTGCGCCCTCCATGCCATCCAGGCTGAGCGCTTCGCAAGTGAGCTTGTTGTCCGCTGAGTCGAGCAGCTGAGCCGCCTCGCGTCCGTCTATGCCCCTTGCCCGAAGGCGGGGGAAGCTCCTGCCTCCTAAAAGTTAAACTCGCTTGGGAATCCGCTAGCAATCAGCCTTTGTGGCACTGTTGGGCAAATGCGTGCTCATTTAGAGGCGAGTTCCCGTCCTTTTTGGTACATTGTGCCCGCGGGTCAATTTTGGAAGAGGAAACCTGTCTCGTTTGTGGCAACAAAACAGCATCCTGTGGCTCACGCTTCTCAGATGGGATGTGGGTGGAATAAGCCTCCCTAGGGGATGTTATGAAATGGGCAGCGGTTATCTAGCAAATGAGTTGGTCTCCTGCATTCCCTTTTGCATAAAGTTCATCTGTGTTAGTGCTTACATTTGACATGTGAGTACTAAATTCGACATTTCGTCTATTTTTAGTGCTAGCACTTTAGCGCTTTACGTTTGGGAAAGTCCACTTTCTAGCTCTTAAACAAGCAAATGGAAATTAAGAAAATCTAAAGCAGTGATCCAATACATAGTTGCTGAAGATTAAACATAATTAAACCCAGTGGGCTATTTTTTTTTTGAATAAATATGCATGGAGTTGTGCATAGTAACTCTTAGAAGGTTCTCAATAGGGAGAGTTTTGGAAATTGTATTGTGTTTTGTACAAGGCAGAAATAGTTCATAGAATACACCTGATAAGTAAATGGATGACAGCTTTTTATAACATGGAATTTATAGAATCTAGTTGGACTTTACAAAAATCCAAAAATAAAAGATTTTTAAAATATTTCCCCCTGAGTGTAAACTGAATGATTATATCCTATCAAGTCAGTACTGATTCTTAGTGATCACATAGGCTTGCATGATGAATTTTTTCTCCAACCTTGCCTTGTAGTAGTAATATTGTAGTACATCTATTGTCACTATAATCAAATCCATTTTCCTTGCTGTTGGTTATTCTCTTTCCTTTCACTTTCTGGGCATTATAGATTTCTCATCAGAGCTAGAACTTCACATAATGTGTCCAGTACATAATAAGCCTAATCAATTGCACCTTGAGTGAAAAACATTAAATAAAAATATTGATGTAACAGAACCTAATTATTTGATTGAATATAGAAGTTCTTACTCCTATAGCTTTTCTTTCACCTTTGAATATATTTTGTAAGAAAATATTGTCAAATATATATAGAACAATTGTCAAGCCATACTGTATACAGATGTATATATTTGATGCCTCTTCTTTATAGCTAGATTTTTTTGAAGTGTGAGCGTAAAATGTTGATGCCTTTTTCAAGTTGAGCTTGAGTCCTTGTAACATACTATAGGCATCTAAGTGATGGAACATTTGCAATAGTGTAGTACAATATAAATTCCATCCCTTATGTACTTGCCTGAATTTTTCATACTGCAAATGCAAAAGGCATAATGATATCCAGAATATGATTCATCATTGGGGCATAATTGTGGAAAGGAGCGGATATTTTGCACATGCTGGTCAGAACCATTCCTAAAGAACTTGCTTGCAAAAACAAAATTATACAATGCTAATGAAAGATCTACTGTCCTGTGGGATGTGATGTGAAAGAGAGAAAGAAAAAAAAATCAGTTGAATACAGGTAAATGAAATAGCAAATGAAAATTTTTTTACAAATCTATTCAGATGGCATTGAAAGGATAAAAGATTTGGTCAGGCCTTTCTGAGGAGAGCTGATGGGCAGGTGGCAAAACATGTTTTGCAAGATAAACTTGGCTTACATGTGTGTAATGCTGTGATAGAAATATAAAGTGGCAGAACATGTGTGATGTCACAATACATTTTTGCAATGTCAATGATAGGAACTGATGCTAATAGCAGAGCATTACTTAATTGTGATGCCATAATGACAAGTCCATTTAGTTCTTTGCCATAGAGTTCAAAGGGCAGCAGGAATGGGGTGGAATAAAAAAACCTCAAGATAATAATCATAACCATGCAGTCAAATCGCCTTCCATTTGTACGTGTGATTCTATGGTCACAATTGCCATCCTGATTTTTTTTTACTCTCCAGTGAGTCTTTTTGACTCTCGCTTTTTGTCTTCGTTTTAACACAGTTTATTTCAAAAAGATACTGAAGTCTTTTTAGTAGTTAAAATGCACCATTCTATAAATCTGATAAACATTAATTACTATATATTAATATCATCCATCATCAGTCCTCAAAAGGAGTTTCATTTGAGAGTCACATCAAGCACATTGAAGAGTGCATTCCAAATGTAAGCAAGGTAAGAATTTCAGTTTGGGGGAAGTTTGGGTGAAAGGGTACAATAAGTCTTTGCAAGGTCTACATTTTAGCCCTTAATTATCTGTCCAAAAGGAAGAAAAATTGCCAACTTTTGGCTTAGCCAATTGGGGGAAGGGTTTGAAGTCCATAAAAAGAAGGGCAATGGACTCTACTTTTGGATTCCCAGTTCTTCCTTTTTTAATTTCATATTCATATTCCTTCTTTTCCAGAATTATATATTATAGAGGGAACTAGGGGATAACCCATGGGCCTTGCTGCACCATCCTGCCAAAGCTTTGGTTAAATCCAGTGGTGGGATTCAAATATGTGAACAACCGGTTCCCTGTGTGGATGCCGCTTCCGGAAGTCCATTTTGGGCCTGGGCAACAAAAAATTAGCTACCGATATGGTGCAAACTGGCTTAATCCCACCACTGGTTAATTCCTGGAATGAAAGGGCAGCCAAGGCTTTGGATAGGATCGTCCCTGTGTGGCCTTTCTTGACCCATTATTGTTCCCAATACTCCCCATGGTTCACAGGGGAGCTGTGGGTTCTGAAAAAGGCTGAGAGATGCCTATAGCATTGCTGGAGGAAAACAATGGATGAATTCAACTGGAAACAGAGTTGCTATTAAGGCATACCTTGTGATGGTAAGAGTGGTGAAACACCATTATTTCTCTATCCTTATTGTGTCCACAAAGTGTCACCCAGTGGCCCTGTTCAGGATCACCCAGTCCCTCCTGAGACAGGAGTGCTTGTGTGATCATCTTCAGGATTGTGCAGAATAATTTGTGGAACATCTGATAAAGTCACTTGGATTTATTTCCAGTTAGAACCCATGCATGGTACAGATCAATTAGAGATGCTTGGGGAAAGGTCTTACCCAATTATCTGAGAATAGTTTGAGCCTTTTGGACTTGATGAAGTGGATAGAGTCCTTGATGCTGTCAGTGCAATCTCCTGTCAGTTAGATCCCTGTCCCTCCTGGCTGTTGAAAGCCTCCAAGATGCTGACAGGCAGGTGAATTCAGGCAGTGGTAAATTCTTCACTGCAGGAGGGGATGTTTCCAGGACCCTTAAAAAATCCTCAAAAATCCATGTCTTGACATCACTCACCTGGATAATTTCCATCCAGTCTCCTACTTTTTAAGGAAGGTGATAGAGAAGGTGAATGGATGGCAGCTTTAGAGGGTCTGGGATGAAATGGATTATGTGGACCCCTTCCAGTCAAGATTCAGGCCCGGTTATGGGATAGAAACAGCATTGGTCGCATTTGTTGATGATCTCTAGCGAAAGTGGGAGGGGTAGTGCATCCATCCTTGCTCTTCTTGACCTGTGAGTGGCCTTCAGTACCATTGACCATACTATCTTTTTGGGCTGGTGTTGGGGTGTGGGACTAGACAATGCAGTTTTGTGCTGATTTGGCTCCTTTCTCCAAGGTTAGTCCCAATTGGTGTTGACAGGGAGTGAGAGCTCCAATCCATAGCTGCTCCTTTTATGGCATGCTGCAGGGCTTGGTACTTTCCTTTTTAACATCTACATGAAACCTCTGGGTGGGATCATCCGTCATCATGGGATGAGGTAGCATCAGTACACTGGTGATATTCAAATTTACATCTCCATCCTTGATGACCCAAGTGATGCTATCGCTGCACTCTCATAGTGCCTGCAGTTGTGGGGATCTGAATACGAGACAACAGACTTTGGCTGAACCCTGGTAAGACTTAGGGGTTTTGGGTGCGTGAAGCTTGGATTCTGGGAGTTTAACATCTTTAGTTCTGGATAGAGTTGCACTGTCCCAGTTGGTATGCAACTTAGGGATTCTTTTAAACTCGCAACTCCTGCTCAATGCGCAGATGGCAAGTGGCTAAGAGAATCTTTACACAACTTCATGTTGTGCACCAGTTGTATCCTTTCCTGATTGGGAGTTCCTGAGCTCAGTCACTCAAGCCCTGGTCATCTCATAGTTGGACTATAGCAACGTGAACTAGCTGGGGTTACTCTTGAAGAGTATCCAGAAGCTTCAGCTGGTACAGAACTCAGCCCCACAGACAGTTCTTTATTTATTGCTTTAATGTTTTATACAGTATTTTTGAATTATTGTAAGCTGCCTAGAATTGCCTTGGTAAGATGGATGACATAGAGTTTAATAAGTAAATATAGGAATAAATATTATGGATAGTTGGATGTCATTCTTCAAGCCAATAAATAGATATAGACAGAAAGTGGTCCATATTAAGTTTGAATGCACTTTGTAGCTAATTTAGGGCCTATCATATTGATATAAATATTCATGGTAGTATACTGCATTCTCCACCAACCACTGTTTTGGCTATTTGTAGAACTTATTACAGTTCAGGAGGGTGGAGATAAGAATGTGAGTTACTACAAGATCAGAACAGAACAGAATATCAGAGTTGGAAGGGACCTAGAGGTCTTCCAGTTCAACCCCCTGCTCAAGCAGGAGACCCTATACTATTTCAGACAAGTGCTTGTCCAGTCTGTTCTTAAAAACCTCCAATGTTGGAGCACCCACAACTTTTGGAGGCAAGTCATTCCACTGATTAATTATTCTATCTTCCTCTTGTAGATAGGGCTACAACTTGCCTACTACCTAGATTTGAGCACAGGCATTAGTCACCTTTCAAATTCAATTATGCCTTCTCAGTCTAACAAAGGCACTGGGGAGGGCATGGATCAAGCCCATGGTTAATAGAACAATATGGAAAAGTACTCTATCTACTTCTTTGGATGCCCAAGGCTGAAAGAAGTCCTAAGACATATTGCCCCGGTTATCATTTTGGACCCTCCCCGTAAAGAATCAAGACATCAGACCATCAAAGTTTCACCCATTTTCACCCACAAAAACTAATTTTTGTTTAATTTTTTAGTTTTATAGATGCCATTTGGGGTGATGATCATGGTGCCAAGATGTCTGTAGAAGTCATACTGTTAACTATGGCTTTTGATCAAATGTTGTGGTCTGCATATACGAAGCTACTGCTGTAGATTTTAATTACATTGTCACTCTCATTTCTCTTTGCATAGATGTGGATGAATGTGCACAAGGAATTGATGATTGCCACCCAGATGCAATTTGTCAGAATACTTTGAAATTGTATAAGTGCACATGTAAACCAGGGTACAGTGGAGAAGGAAAAACATGTGAAGGTAAGTGCACTAAAACCATAAAGCTGGATTTGACTGAATATGATTGTTCCCAATGTCTAGTTGAATAATAGCGACAAAATGCAGGTATTGGTAAAATTATGTTATTTAAATATATTTAAATATATCGTGGCAAGCAATTTTGGTGACCTAACAAACTTTATCTCATTGCACTTTCATAAAACGTGGTTTATAACAGTCTCTTGGTTGTATTTTATAAGTGAGTACATTTCAGGTTCTTTTTCCAGTAGACTTGAACAGGCTACTCGGTTTTCCGCTTTTCAAGCCATATAAAGTTATTTATGTAGGTTACAAAATGTTTCAAATCCTATTCCATGTTCAAATCCGAATGTATTTTACATTTTTTTTAAAAAGTGATTTATTTCTTTGCATGCAAACATTCCAGTTGGTCAACATGATAGACAGACACTCTATATACGTGTAGTTCTCAGCTTATAACCACAATGGAGCCCAAAATTTTAGTTGTTAAGACAGTTGTTAAGTGACTTTTGCCCCACTTTATGCCTTTCTTGCTGCAGATGTTAAGTGAATCACTGCAGGTGTTAAGTTAGTACCACGGTTATTAAGTGAATCTGGCTTCCCCCATTAACTTTGCATGTCAGAAGGTTGCACAAAGTGATCATATGACTCTGGGATGCTGCAACCACCGTAAATATGAACCAGTTGCCAAGTGTTGAATTTTGATCAGGTGACCACAGGGATGCTGCAATGGTCATAAGTGTGAAAAACGGTCATAATCACTTTTTTCAGTGTTGTTGTAACAGTTGTAAGTCAAGGACTACCTATACACTCTTTGCAATATCTGTATGCACATACAGAATCATATTGTGCTAAATCATTATTTTAACAATGATTAGTTGAACAGTCCATAATGATTGTGTTAACACATAATACAGAATGATAAACCTTTATTCTCATAACATGTTAAATCAATAACAATCGTAATCTTGCTCAGAATGATGTTTGAACCAACTTTCCACCCACCAACATCATCAGTGGTCTTTGAAAGATCAGGAGTATTTATAGAGCTACTGTAGGTTTTGTGTGTGTGTGTATGTGTGTGTGTGAGAGAGAGAGATAGAGAGAGATAGAGAGAGAAAACAGCTGTTTTCAGCTGATTGAAATATACTAAAGTTGTTTTCCTACAAACTGCTGGTCAGCTGATAGGTGGACTGTTTAAGATTGGGTGGGAGGGCAAGGGATAAGAGATTACATTGATTGAAGAATGGAAGATGACCCAGGGGACACAATAAGCAAAGATGAAGAGGAAATAGGCAGGGTGCTTTATGTATGCCTTCATTGCAGATCCAACTCCATTCTAATTGCAGCATCCAGGATAAATATGAAGAAAAAGGTTGTCGAGCTCCAGAGTCTTCATGTTTTATTTTACATACCTACTTATATATATGTATACATACTTTGCATTTTAGACTGGTATAATGAAATCCTCTTCTGACATCGGAGAATCTCTCTCAACTTAGGTCAGCTTTGCAACTTTAGGCCAATCTCAAGAACTGTATTTCTGAAAAAAGGTGATTGAGAAGGTGATAATCTCACCATTTCATGTGCATGGATCAAATACCTCTGTTTCAGTTAGGCTTAAGACCAAGATAGAGCTTTAAGACTGCTTTGAGCCTCAAGGTGAATGACTTAAATAGAAAGTGAAACTTTCTATTTCTCCTATTTTTGCTACAATTAATCATAGTATTGTATAGTGGGCCACATGGTGGAACTGGACCTTGGGGAAATGAAGGTTTTACAGTAGATTATTACTTACTATTTATCTGTGTCAAAAAGCTTGTGCTGGGAGATACTTGTTCGGCATTTAGAATGTTATACAGAATTCTGTCTTGTTCCCCATGCTCTTTAACATTCTCATGAAACTACTGGGGGAGATTATTGGGACCATTGTCTTTAATATGGTAATGCTAACCAGACATTCTGTCCACTGTCATTTAACTCCCAAGAAGCAATTGATACTCATAAATGTTGCTTGATACTTGGATTATACTAAACCTCTGGATCATAACCATACCATGCTGAGAAGTTGTTGGGCAGTTTTTCAAAAGAAATCCTCCAGACTCCTTGGGTTGTGTACCAGTTGCCCCTATTACTGGATCAGGAGGCTCTACACTCAGTCACTCATGGCTTGATCATTTCCTGCATGGATTATTGTAATGGTCTGTACATGGGACTGTCCTTAAAGACCATTTAGGATTTTCAGCTGGTGCAAAATATTTGTCCCTAGATCAGCACATCATTATATCACTGCTATACAAGCTGCAGTGGGTACCAGTTTGCTTCCAGGTTTAATTCAAAGTGCTGCATGGCATGGAGTTGGGTTGTCCTCTCCCAGATTACATCAACCTGTCCCCTAAGTCCAGCAGACAGGCATGTTATAGGTCCTGTTCTCTAAGGAATAATATCTGACAAGACCTAGGAGGAGAGCCTCTTTTGCCATGGCACATAACCTTTGGAACATTGTCCCCCTTGAGATCAGATTAGCCCTGACTTTATTGGTCTTTTGGAAGAAAGTAAAGACCTGCTTTTGTCAACTTGCCTCAAGATCAGGCAATGGTGGTATGGAGCCTACCAAATGGCTAATCTATTCATAAAAAGGATTGCATTCTCCTGCAGATTATGATTTTATGGTTTTTAATATATTTTATTGTTTTAATGGATTTTTGTAGTGATGCTTTTTGTTACTTTTCGTATTTTGTATGTGTGTGTTTAACTCCATGAACTACCCAGAGTCACATATGTGAGATGGGCACTTATATGCACTGAACAAACAAACAAACAAACAAACAAAATGGAAGCAGTACTGGACATGAGAAGATTTAGATAATTTATTTTTGAAAAAATACATTATTTGCAAAGTTGAAATCATTTAATAGCATTTATTAGTAGCATATATACACTTTAATCCTGTTACAATTTATCTATAACAAAACAACCAGGCATCTATCATGCTGACTTTTGCTTTATTCTCCAGATATTGATGAATGTGATAATGAGTTCAATGGAGGTTGTGTCCATGAATGTTTCAATATTCCAGGCAATTATCGCTGTATATGTTACGATGGCTTCATGTTGGCTCAGGATGGTCATAACTGTTTTGGTAAGGATGTGCCCCAAAAAGTTATTATGTACTGACATATTTATCATGTGCCTAGAGAAGTCAAATGCTAATTCAGCGAAATACGTAAATAGCATTTTTGTTATTCCATGTATTTATGAAAATAGCAGAAATGTATATTGTATATTAATCACAATTTGTTAATAAAAATCAGATAACCCTTATTTAATCTTAACCATGATTTAAATAATTTACAAAATATATTTGTAAATAGTTGTTTATTTCAGCTAATCATAGCTGGGTTTTAAGTGGGTTTTAAATGTCATCTGAACTGTAGTGAATCTAAAATGGAAAGTCCCCTTTTTCTACTTGAGTCCAAGCCAAGATGAAAAGGAATAAGAGAGTCCAAGGCCTTCTGTGGTTCATGTTTATAGTGTTGGACCATATTAAGGGCTTGAAGGAGAGCTTTCTGCCCACAAGGCAGATTTGGTCTACCTGTCCCCACCACCCAAATCCCACTTCCATTCCACATCAAAGAGTGAAGTGAGTATTTGTTATTCTCCTACTTTAGCCAAATGAAATATATTTGTTGCTGCATACCAAAGAGAGCAATAGGCCATAGCTTTCTTCTAGTAGACAAAGGACAATAAATAAAAGGTAGCCTGGAGGGAAAGATATGATAAGTATTTTGGGTACAACCATACTTTTTCCATATATATCTTTAGTATCTATGGATATTTAGTTTGGGGGTTTGTATATCTATTGTTAGGCAGGCAAAGAATGAATGCATTACATATAGACATTGGTGATGGGGTTACCAGGAAAGAATTTAATTAAATAGATGCTGATCTGGCCTTGCTTTTTTCTATTATTATTATCCTGTAATTTAGTCCTGAGATTAAAATAACTGTTTTAAATAAGCTTCAAAGAAAAATGTGGACATTAATATCTGCATTTTTATTCATGAAATTATAAAAAAATTAGAAAAAGCATTTTAGTGGGCAGCTTCATGAAAAAATTAAACTTTGTATTTATTTAGAAAAATAAATATCCGTAGTGTTAAGTTTTATTGAGTCTAAAGAGGAGTGATAGGAAAAATAGGGCCACTATCCAATCAACTGGATATTTAGTTCATTACTGCTTAATGGATTATTTATGTGCAACTGGTATAAACTTTATTTATTTATTTATCACCCATTTCACTTCAAAGCAACTTTGGGTGGCTTACAAGGCTTACATGGAATTGGATCCAAATTGGTACCGCTTGTATTTCAGATATGGATGAATGCTTGGTCAATAATGGAGGCTGTCAACATGCTTGTATCAACACAGTGGGTAGCTATGAATGTCGTTGCAATGAAGGATTTTTTCTCAGCGATAATCAGCACACTTGCATTCACCGTTCAGAAGGTATAAGTCTTTTCATTTCTACAAAAACATGCATGAGGCCCTTCCTTTTTTCCCCACCACTCAAAATCAAATTCCTTGAATTATGTTGTAATATGGGATGATCATACAGTATGTAGAGTTTCTAAAGATGTTAGATGATATGCTGATGATAAAAGGAAAAATTGTAGCCTGCCTCTTGCCTGTTTTTAACTATTACATTATGCGGATACTGTATTGACAGGTATACGTTAGACAATAATTTCCCAGTGACTTGGATAAGCATGGCTAGGAATTCATTTTTATTGCATTTTGGGAATGGATGCCATTAAAACCAGTCAACATTCTCTGAGTTAGTGGAAGAAAGGATGCAGAATTGGTACCCATTTCTCATTTATACCTTCTGCTTCTTCCATTGGTGAAGCCGCTCTTCCCTTCTTTTTCTCATGCTCATTTGAAAGGCTTGTTGGAGCAACTGTGGTTTACAGGCTCAAAGCAGGAATTCAGAGAACCTGTACTTAGTGATGGAGCCTTGAAACTTGTCCTCAATGAGCATTCTTAAAACACCAGGATAAAAATAACCAGACTTGTTTGGCCCATTTTGTGCTGTGTCACAGCTTGCTTTAATAATCATGTACTACATGCCATGTTTATAGAAAAGGTCTTTTTAGTCTGAGTAGACTGTACCCTTCTTCAAATTCTCAGATAAGTTGGTTTTTTTTTTAAAGAATGTTTGAAGAGATCATTTTTAGGCATTTCCCTTTGGAGACTAAAGATACTGACTAGGAGATTATAGTGAAACATTTTTGCAAAACTCTTCTCAATTTTAATATTAATTAAAAAGACATAAAATTCACATTTCCTTTTATATTATTATGGGATCACTATGAATCACACTTCATTTATTGGGTTTGATTGATATTTGATCAGAATGCTTTAGAACTCCTTTCTAGATCATTTTCTACATTAAGTTTTTGGAGAGGAATCTTCAGGACACATAAAATTAGCTTGTATTGATAAAAACTATTAGTGATATGGAGGAGCTGTAAGTATGTGTTTACAGATGAGGAGGAGGATGAGTTGCAAAATCAAACTTACTACTTACCGTATTTGCTATGCACCATTCTCATTCATTTTACAGAAGCCCAAGGTTGTGAGAGAAAATTAGTTTAATTAGTACCATAGTTGTATTATTTACTCCTCATAAAAATGTTATCACTATACAGGTGGTATTTTTTGAATTTCAAAACTTAAGGCCTTTATAGAAATAAGATTAATTGTTCTTCTTTTTTTCTATAATGTTATTTAATTGATATGAAAAAAAATTAATTCTTAATTTTACATACTCTTTCAATCAAAAGGCATTTAACTATTCATAATATATTTGTTATTAGTAAAAAGCAGTATTTCAGCATGTGGCTATTTCTTTTGCACTACAACTCTCAGGGAAATAATTTAACTTTTTCTCTTTATGCAGAACTGAGTAAATCAGAATTCCCTATTTGAAAAGTTACCGTCTTCGGTAAACTTTGCCAAAGTACTNTTTTCTTAATGCTTTTTATATGTCTTTTAGCTAACTGATGATCACATGGCATGTTGAACCTTTCAAATGCCACACAACAGAAGAGTTAATAAGACTAATTTGTGATCCTTTGTAATAGAAAAAGACGGACTGACAGGAAAATAGTGATTTGCAGGTTTAATATGGATTTTTGTGTCTTTTGTGTTTCTGGAGGGGCGAAAACATCATTGTATTCCTAGTTTTCTCACTGTGGGAAAGGAGTCAAGGAACCAGTAGAGCAGAATAATCAAAGCAATATAGTAGCTATCCCTTTGTTAGTCAAAGTCACTTTAGAAGAAGTATGTTGGAATGAAAGCATGGCTTATTAAAATGCTGCAGAATTTTCTAAGGACATGATGTCCGTCACAGTTTTTCCTTGGGATAAGGAAAGTAATAGCAAACAAAACTAATTCACAAATGATAGGACAGCTTGATTTGGAATGCATTATACATTGTTTTAACTACTACACTGTTTTCAAGCTGGAATGAGGAGCTCCTGATGTACATAATGAATTATGCATCATTATTAGGTAGCCTGTAAATTAGTCCCACATATGTCTGCACCTTTTTGAATGTCCTGTGGATTTAGATGTTTCCTCTCTCCCTCACCCCTTCCTCTGAAGGTTTACTTTAATGGGAAAAGATATTGGAAACTCTTCATTTCCAGAATTCATAGAATCTGTTTCTTTTTTATGTTCGATCTGAGAGACTTGCTTCTTCTTATATTAAATGGGGATAATGGTTTGCATACACAAAATACTAAAAAAAAGGCAGATCCATCTCAGATAATTATTTTCCTAATTGGAAGTTCACAGCGAAAACTACACCTACCCCTCAGATTATAAAAATGATTCTATATTGAATATTTATTTATGTGCATTATTTGACTTAATGGACAGAGGGTAAAATATTTTTTATTTTTTTATTTAAAGCATTTATATAGCCACCCTTCTTATGTCTGTTAGAAAACAAAATATCCCCAAAGAGTTAGAATCTTTAAGTCCCTTTGATTAGATGCCGATAATAAAGAAAAATCTAGACTTTAAGAAATATGTGTTTGCTTGATTGAGTCTGTTATAAGAAATAAAACAGAATAAGGGATAATTCCATGTGTCTACATATTTAGAATGAATTATTTTCCCTCTTCTTCAGCTAACAATAAATCAGTAACTCTCTTTCCTTGGATAAATGTTGTTTTTAGAAGATGCAGGAAGTTTTTACACATTTCTTAGACTGAGAAAGAACAAGCTGTTTCATTCTTTATATAGTGGGTATGTTTCTCCATGTTTAGCTGATATCAGGATGAATTTCAAGGAGACTTTCTCCCTACTTTTACATTCAGGTTCATGAACCAGTAGCAAGTCTTTTAGAGAAGACCAAACTTTCAGTAAATGAATCTTCCAAAATTAGATATGCTTATCTGGTCCATGTTAAAGACTGGCCATAAAATTACCTATCCACCAAAATCAAGTCTCACTCATATATATACATTTGGTATGTATAGTGACTAGGTTGATATTCTCTAAAAGTTTATTGAACTTCTTGAGTTCTGTTAGCTGTCTGCCCTCTTCAAGAATATATATATTATTAGGAATGAAGTATTTACTGAGGTATGCTATATTTGAAATACACTGAGAATCCATCTTCTGCTTATATATCTTCCAACCAACCTCTCTCAGCTCATCCTATTCCATGAAACATTGTGAAGGTAACACTGATCCACAATTAATTCCCCATTTGTGCCATTTTTCTCTTTACAAATTATAATAGATTTATAAATTTGGTTAAACTTCGATGGAGGTCCTTAATGTTATATTTCTACTCTTGGTATATAAACTTTGTTCCTTTTTTCATATGAGGTAGATTGTCTAAATATCTAAAATCTGTTGCCTGTATTTTAAAAGCTCAGAGAATACTGATACATCCACACTGATTGTTTTGTAGAAGGGGTGAGCTGCATGAATAAGGATCATGGTTGTGCCCATATCTGCAAAGAAGCGCCAAAAGGAGGAGTGGACTGCGAATGCAGACCTGGATTTGAACTGGCCAGGAACCAAAGAGACTGCATTTGTATGCAACATTCTACACATACTTGACTCTTATGTAGCCTCTCTGATCAGAAGGAATTGCTAAGCATCTTTCTTCTCTTATCTGATCATATCTTGGTTTAAAAGATTTTCACTGTTCACTTGGTTTTTGTTCACTTCTGTTTTGCCTTGTGATAATTTTAATGATTATCAGATACGGTAGATGGTATGCATGATTGAAGCGTGCAGTAGATGGCATGCATTAGAGATGTGTTAGACTGCAAATTTTTCTTTGTAGAAGAAATCCCTTCCAAATCTGTTATTCTGTTTTTCTTTCTTTGTAGAATTTTAACTGAATTCAACTAGAGCTTTTGAAATAGAATTCAGTAGCCAAAGATATGTAAAATAACTATTGGTGTCCAATCTTGAATTCAGGTCTTCTGCTTGACTTTCTCATCAAAGAACTAATCTACAATCTAACCTATCAGAAGTTACTGTACCTCAATTAAGTTAAGCAGCATTATTTTTGAATAGGCAGGAATAGCATTGCCGTATTTAATATCCATGCAGTTTAACTGAGAGCATGGGTGTCCACAGAAGGATATCAAAATCTGTAAGATAATGGATATAGTGTCCTAATTGAAGCCCCATATCTTTTATATATGTGTGCAATATCAACAGACATTCAGAGTGGGGGCAAGGGAAGGCCTCAACCACAGTGTCATACTCAACACCATGCAGGTTTAAGTGGAAGCTGACGACTGAAAGAAAGTGCTATCTCTAAATATCAGGTTTGATTCTCAAATGAAAATATGCCTGTTACATTACTACAATAACTTGGTTTTCATTGACTCATCAATTTTATACAATATAAATCAGTGGATTTAAAATTTAATGTATAGTATTAAATAATTAAATAGTTATTTAACTATTAATTATTAATAATATCAATTAATAATATCAATTATTATCAATTTATTATATGTATAGTATAATGTATAGTATAAGAATCACTTCTTATAAGATGGGCAGCCATATACATTTGATAAATTCATAAATACAAAAAATATAATTAATTTAATTGCCTTACATTAATTGTTAAAAGGAAGAATGCCAATGTCTGGAATGGTATAGGGCAGGGGTAGGCAACCTTGGCTCTTTTTTGTGCTGGCTCAGGAATTCTGGGAATTAAAGTCCACGAGTCATAAAAGAGCCAAGGTTGCCTACCCCTGGTATAGGGTCTCCTGCTTGTGCAGGGGGTTTGACTAGAAGGTCTCTTCCACCTCTGTTATTCTGTTATTCTTTAATTTTGCTGCTGCCCTTGCATTTAATAAATGTTGATTTAGGAATTATGTTAAGTTACAAGGATAGATAATTTTTCTGCTAAAGTAGCTCGTATACTTACAACCATATAGGACTTAAAGATGAACATTCAAGGTGGAGAGATCCTGAGTTCAGAATGATATATACTTTTTAAATACTTCAGAAGTTTAATTGGACCTTTGCTTTCCAGTGACTTGCAATCATGGAAATGGAGGCTGCCAGCACAGTTGTGAAGATGCAGAAGATGGGCCTGTCTGTGGATGTCATCCAGAGTACACAGTGCATGCCAATGGAAAAACATGTATTGGTATCTCACTTCTTTTCTGCTACATTATGTGTAGACAAGTTGTAAATAAATACGTAACAGTTTCTGAATGTTTCCTCTCAGTAAAAATATAGATTTCTTTACAGTTTGCTTAAAAATTGCAGAAAATCCAGGTTTGCTTATGAATGAGAAATGTGTTGGATTGAGGTTAGTCACATAACAGCACATCCACATAACAATGGGCTATGATGATGGTCCTGACTAATTAAAATACAAACTTCCATTAAAACAGCTGTACCCAACCTTTCTGGCTCAGTGGTGGCAGCAGCAGGCAGGGGGAGGAGAGGGGCGGGGCTGCTTTCGTGCACACAACCTAATCCCACACATGAACAAATGAAGCTTTGTATGTTCGCCCGCTGGTTGTGTGGTCTGGTTCCCAATGGGCTGTTAACTGGTACCAGTCCATGGCCCGGGGGTTGGGCACCTGAATTAAAATATTCACTTTTAAAATATTAGAGTATCTACTGTATATTCTACTAAAACTCTTATGTCTGTAGCCTTTAATTGGGCAAAATGGTGCATTGTAAGGTAACAATTTTTGAACCAAGGTACCTCAAATGGGCTAACTTATCAATCCATCCAAAATCCAGGGAAATGAAATTTGGAGAAAGTTATGAAATATTTTATGAAATAGAAACCATCATGAAACATGTTGTGACATAATACAAAATGTCATAAACATTCTCCATGGTCAACTTCTAGTGTTTGGCTATGCTATAAAATTCAACATGGGTTACTTTCAAAGCAGCTACATTTCTGAATATCTCCCTGGAATTTTAAGAACTTTTCCAGTACTTTAGAAGCTCCACTATGGTTGAAAACATTAGAAATGCCATCCTGAATTCTCTTGTCACAACGGTAGAATAAACGTAACTAATATGATTAATAAACTAGGCATTATATATTAGGAATTATATACTGTGTTTCGGCCAAAGATTAGGATGGGGTAAATATTAATTATTTATACTGTAATGCTGTTAACATGATATGTTCTTCAAACATAAATAGTGAATTTGAACCTTGGTGCCTTCACTTGAAGAATTGATAATAGCAATAGCATTTAGGCTTATATACCACTCCATAGCACTTTACAGCATTCTCTGGGTGGTTTACAATGTAAAAGATTTATTTGCATATTGCCGCCAATAATCTGGGTCCTCATTTTACCAACCTTGGAAGGATGGAAGGCTGAGTCAATCTTGAACCCTGTCATAATCGAACTCAAGTCTGTGGGCAGAGTTTGACTGCAATATGCCCTTTAACCACTGGGCCACCAGGGCTCCTTAAAGCTTAAATACTTAAATTGATTAAAATATCAACATATCAAGAAATCCTCTGTTTGGCCATTATACCATAAATTCATAGAATTTAAAAGTTGGTAGTGATCCTAGAGATCACCTTGTCCAATCACTGCCCAGTGCAGGGATCCAGTAATGTGGCATCCCTAAGAGATGGTTGTCCAGCCTACTGTTGATGAATTCTACAAATAATCAGGCATTGTATCCGGTGCTTTATGTAAATTAAACTTGTTGCTTATTTTCTAGACTATAATAGCTGTATGATAAAGGAGATCATCAGTGTTATAAGAGCAGCAGGGGGATTCTAAAAATAGTTGGAAAGAATAATCTTGGGCATGAAAGAACACCAATTTTTTTGTGGCAGAGAGAAAATAAAACAAGATTGCCAAAGAAGCTGCTCTAAGAAAATATATTTTATAAGCAAAGGGAAACTCGTTATCCCTTAGGAAGGTCTTTGAGTTAAAAAGATATTTACTAGAAAAACACATTCTAGAGATAAAACTGAGCCAGAACAAAACTTATTTTCTACAATCCTTCATTTTTGATGATAATTTCTTTTCTTTTATATAGCATGTATCAAATAGATATATATGAGCTGGATCACACAGGATTACTTAAATATGGTTTACTTATATCACAACCGGTGGGGTTTACACAGTAGGCTAAGCTATATAGCATGGTTTACAAATCACAAAGGTTGGGTTAAAACAACATGCCAAGTCAAAACCAAGGTAAACATGGTCTATTGTGGAGTATAAACCCAAAGGGGGTTAACCTATAATTCAAGCAAAGATAAAGTCTGTCATATGACAGAAAGTGATGAAAATCCCTTTGAAGTTACCAGATAATCTGGTAGATAATTATTTTCTCAACCAAAATGTATTTTCTAGAACATCAGTTTTTACTCTATGCCTGACCATTTGATACTTTTTTTTATTTTCCATACCAAGAAAGAATAGAAGCGACCACAGAAATCTCTGAAAACAATGTTACGGCAGGAGCTGATGCAGATAAACGAGTGAAGCGGCGACTGCTTATGGGTAAAGAGATGTTCAGGTCTGATAATTGTTTGTAAGAGATTTCCAAGCTTTGCTGTATGAATAACACGAATAACAACAATTGCTGTAATGACTTTACAGAAACTGAAAATACTTATTCCACCTAATGAAATTAATGAAATTTCCATATGCTTTCAGTTCAATACGGTTAGGCACCAATTGTCCCTGCCACTGCAGAACTTCTCAAGTTCTCTGTTTTTGCCAGTTGTCATGTAATATATTCAGAAAAACTTTTTCATAGAGATACAATGCTATTGTGCTAATTACAGTTGCAGTTTCTCTTTCAAATATGTAGAAGTGTGTAGAGCTAATTTATATTTCTGGAAAAAGGCAATAAACGATTTTTTAGTTAAACTTTATTAAATTTCTCGAAGAATGAAATTAAGAAAAGAAAAAATGGGAACAAAAAATAAGGACAGGCAAAGTGCAAGGGATAAATGGAAAAGAGAGAAAGAAAATAAAAAGAGTAATTTCTTATTTTCTTTGATACAATTACAAATATTTTATATATTTTCTTCTTTGTAGAAATTTAATAAAATGTAATTTTAAAAAGCAACAAATTATGAAGAATGTTGCAGGAGAAAATTAGTCAGTCAAAATTACTTGATTGTTCTTCATAATATATAGATATTATCTATATAATTTTTTAAGATTAGGTGGGATAATATCTACATGCAATGAGGAACAATCAAGTACACTTGCTGCAGATGAAATCCCAGGATGCCCCAACAAACAAACTGACATGTGGGAAATATATGGACACTTCAGTGAAAAACAGCAGCTTGGGAATGTAGCTATTGTGGGAAGGTTGAATTCTATGTAAAGAAATCATTGAAGGAAGAACTGAAAATTGCCTACAATAAATTTTTCATTTAACAAGGAAAAGGATGCCCATTAGACCTGAATATCCATTAAATTGGTGATTAGGATGTTATATATAATAAAAGGATCCTAGTGGTGCATCAGTGAAATTTTATACATACCTAAAATGGCAACCAGATGTCTGTTGCATCCAAAATTTAGTAAACAGAAGCCAGGAAATTGTGAGCTTACTGTGTTGCTTTTAAATGCCTTTATAAATCCATATGATGAAATTAGAGTACTATGTATCATTTTGGTTGGTATAATGTTATCAGAGGCAATATGCTTCTAAATACCAACCATTGAATATCAGTTGCTATGGAATACAGATGGGAAAAGTTAGTCATGTCCAGTTTGTGGAATAGAAACTTAGACCTGATCCAGTACAGATTTTCTCAGATTCCTAAGAAAACCAAACTGAATACTTATCTGTGGGTAATTCTACTTATAGTTAACCTATCTTGATTTTTTTTTCATGTTTAAAGCTGAAGTTATCTGTTGCACAAACGTCTCTGGAGTTCTTGATGCTCTTTGAACTTGGTTTAGAGATCATCAAGAAGTCTAAGATACTCTCTGAAAAAAGTCTTGGATATGCTTGTTTAACATTAGAATTTGATCAGAATTCATTCTGTTGAATAAATAAAAATATCTCATTTCAATTTTTTTCCCCTGCAAATGCCAAATTGTGTTCCTTTTCCTTAGAAACTTGTGCAGTAAATAATGGTGGCTGTGATCGGACTTGTAAGGACACTTCAACAGGCGTCCACTGCAGTTGTCCTATTGGCTTTACTCTTCAGCTTGATGGGAAGACATGCAAAGGTAAAGTTCAGTATTCCTGGCAATGTGCAAGCTAAATATCTACAGAAGATTCTTGCCAAAAATCCCAGAAAAGTGTAATTTTGCTAAGCCAGTAAAAAAAGAAAATCTGAAATAGGAAAGCAGTATACAAGGCATTGCTTTGATTGTTCCTTTGCTGAAATATGTATGTGAAAAGTTCAATTTGTTTTTTGTATTCAGTTCAAGGTTATCACTTCTGTCCTGTACAATGTACAGTGCTAATACAACTCTAGAGCTTAGAGGCGAGAATTTCTGTATGTATCAGACAGAGTCATTTGATTATGTAGGCACAGGACTCTTGTTCATGTTGCAATGTTTGCAAAAGAGATGGTTAAACAGCAACATTATCTTCCATAGGAAGCAAAATGCCTGTGAATCTGCAAAGGTTATATTTTGTCCTTAAATTACTCAGTATTCTGATTGTTTTATGTCTGTCTGTCCGTCCGTCCGTCTGTCCGTCCGTCCGTCTGTCTGTCTGTCCGTCCGTCCATTCATCCATCCATCCATACACACACACACACACACACACACACACATACAGAAAGAGAGAAAATGAGAATTGTCTATCTCAATTGAAGGGGAAGTTGACTCTGTTTCTCTAAGAGCGAATGCATGGTAGTATGATATAATACCTATTGCAATAGGGTTTCTCCAAAAGCTGTAATGTGAGTTAAACTTACAGAGCAAGTATACCAATTCAAATTTTGTTATAGTCAACAAAATTAATCTGTAATAAGCATTCCTAAACAAACAATAATAAAATAGTAATATACAAAGGGAAGAAGCATTTGAAAGCACGATTGACTCAATTGTTTATGATGAAAGTTTAAAAGAATACAGATAGTCCTCATTGAACAACCATTCAAAGTTACAATGGCACTGAGGGGGACTTTCTCATAGTTGCTGCTGAGGCAGTGTCCCTATGGTTACATGGTTGTGATGCAGGTGTTCGGCAACTGTCTTGCACTTAACAGTAACCTGCATTTATGTGATCACCATTTGCAACCTTCACTGCAAGCTTCTGACAAGCAAAATCAATGGGGAAGCCAGCAAAAGGTCACAGATGGCAATCACGTGATCACAGAATGCTAGACCACACAAAATTTGCCTAATGACAACCTCTGGGACTGTTGGAACTATCATAAGTCAGCATAATTATGTGATGTCGCACTTTATGATCACATTGCTTGGTGACAGAGTTGCCAGTTTCAACTACCATTATTAAGTGAGAACTACTGTACCTGTAAATGAAGAATGTAAAAGTGATGTGAAGTTTTGGAAGTGGGACAGGAAATTTTTGATACTGTCAAGAATGGATCTTAAGAAAATTAGAAATAGGCATTAGAAAATTAGAAAAAGGAAAGAGATGAAAGAAGCTAGAGTAAAGGAAGAACAACCGTGAAGAGAAGTACAAGTCCTCTATGAAAAAATACTGAAAAATAAGAATAATCTCATAAAAGAATGAGTAGAAATTGGTATGGAAAAAGCACAATGACAGAAAATTGACAAGCTGTGCTTTACAACAATGTACATCAAAAATACAAAACATTTGAAGTTTATTTCATCACATGTTCCCTTCTTGTAGATGATAATTCCTAACAGTTTTAGAAGCAACTCAGATTATTTTATAATACAGTAGGCTTGCTTCATGTTCCCTTCCGTGTGTCAGATGCTGTCTTATGTTTAAAAGTTGTTACTGTTGTTATTGCTTAGAGGTGTATTTAAGAATGTATTGGTTAAAAATGAAGTGAAGCACACACATGCGCACACATTCACACACACACCCTCATTGACAAATTTATTTCTTCTAAGAAACAAAATACGGGTATAGACTTAAGCAGTGGTGGGATTCAAATATGTGAACAACCGGTTCTCTGTGTGGATGCCATTTCCGGAAGTCTGTTCTGGGCCTTGGCAACAAAAAATTAGCTACCGGTTCTACCGAACTGGTGTGAACTGGCTGAATTTCACCACTGGACTTAAGTTATTGTGGCCTATCAGTTTAATTCTCATTCCAGCAAGGGAGAAAATATCGTAAGAGATACGTAGAGTATGGGGGATCTAATTTTCAGAAAGAATGAAGTCTTAACTGTCTATTATTGCAAGTAGGGTATATGCAGTAGGCTGCTTGTTCTGGCCAACTATATATTTAATATTCTTTCTGTTTCATACAGAGATGTGTTTTCCTTGTCTTCAGGTAATACTATACCATCTATGAATCTGGAAGCCTTTTCTCTGTAAGACCACTTCCCATCCTGTTCAAAGATATCAACTGACTCAGTTCTTAATGCTACATTATCCCATGTACCAATCTTAGCTTTCTTTTCTAATAATGCCTGCTTTCTGCTAGGAGATTCATTTTTCTAAAATAGGAAGGTTGCTAAATTCTGCTCAGTAATAGTTACTTTAAGGAGGAATTGGGTCTAATGCTGGAATGCTTAATGTGGAATTTGCATTGCTATTTGATTAGATATTGTTATATATTCCATTAGTTACTCTACATCAATTTTTATCTTATAGAGGTTTTGCTCTTCACCCATAAATAAATATATAACTTTGATGTAAGTTGCTATAATGAATTATTGTGTACAAAAACAAGTACAGGTACAATAGCAATTGGAATCAGGGCTGCCACTGCTAAGCCATGTGGTTGTAAAGCATGGTGTCATGTGACCACATTGCTTAGCAACGGCAATTGTAATCCCAAGATGCATGGGTTGTTAAACAGGAAGCAGTGAGTATCCCAGATAAGGAGTATGGGGGTGCCACAGAGTTGGAGGAGGTCCTGGGAGGGCTGGTGCAGGCTGCATTTGAGTTGGGAGAGGCCTAGGACAGGCCATGTGCAAGTACAGGAAGGCCAGTGGGTAGATGGTTTGACATGGTATAAGTGCAGAGAGACCAGAGGGGCTAAATAACATTTGAGTGCAATGAGGCCACTGGGTGGATGGCACAGTGCAAGCACAGGGAGGCCAGGCAGGCTTATCAGAGCAACTTGCAACCTATGCTGCAGGTTTTTCTCATTGATTTTGCTTGTGAGAATTCAGCAGGGAAAGTCACAAATGACTATTGTGTAACCATGGAACTAAGGTCGCCATACATGCAACCCACTCGACAAGCTCCTGAATCATAATCACATGACCATGGAAGCACTGCAACAGCCAGAAGTTTGAAGACCAATTGTAAAAATACTGCTCATTCAGTACCGTTGCAACTTCAAACAATCGCTGAACAAGTACTCAGTAAGCAAGGACTTACTATAATCACATTTTAAACCTTGTTATACAAGACAGTTGTTCCAAAGAAGATTCTTTTTAAAAAAATTGTGCAAAACTAGAAGGAAAAGATCACTTAAGTCTAGTATGTTTCTTACACTAAAAGACTTTTGACTGATTTGCTTTCAAGGTTGTAACACATGTTTAAATCTTTCAGGAAAAAGAAATGAAGCTTATTATATCACTTATCATCCCTTTTCTTTCTTATAGACATTGATGAATGCCAGACCAGTAATGGTGGATGCGATCATTTTTGTAAAAACACAATTGGTAGTTTTGATTGCAGCTGCAAAAAAGGTTTTAAATTATTAACTGATGAAAAATTGTGTCAAGGTATGTGTGGGAGGAAGCAATAATATATATATATGCTTGCTGGATAGGGAATTCTGGGAGTTGAACTCTGCATATCTTAAAGAGACCAAGGTGGAGAAACATTGACATAGGGTATACTTAGAAATGAATTTCAGATCTTCTCGTCAGTGTTCTAAGTTTCCATTAATTTCAGGGAGAGAAATTTAAACCATTTATGGATTATGTTTACATTAACAGAATGACTAATTAGCACAAAGTAATTTAGTAAAATGATAATAAGCAGAGTTTAATCTGTTTGGCAAGTATGATTCACTTTCAGAATAACCATCTGGAACCATAATTAACTGTGACTTTCCAAAAGTAGAATTGATTGCTATCAGTGGAATTCTTGGTTTGATTCTTCTAAGATTACAGGACAAATATTTCCTTTCTGGCTGAGAATGTGCTGAATATATGCAATTTTAGGTGAAAATAGCCTATTGATAATAATAGATTGAATATTGATAGTACTAATATCAATGTTCCATTGATAGCAACAGATTAAATATATTCTTAGCAGATGTATTGATAGTTTATCTTGAAAATTATTATTGCCTTTCTGTACAATTTTTCTAAAGTTATCTTATTAAGACAAATGTGACAATGAAGACAAATATAAAATATAAATCCAAGCCTAAATAGTATAATTTAAAACATCTCACGTGCAAGCTCGCGATAGTCCTTGTGCGTATTTTCCCAACAATTCACATTTCAGCCTTTGATATCATTATTCAGCTGCAAGTTCTCTATAATCCAAAACTCTTTTGACTGCAGGTAGATCTGGGGCTTGGATCCTGAATGATGCTTTATAGCAGAGTGTCCCTTTAGCAGAGTGTCCCACATGGGTACTGTCATTGATGGAAAAGGAGGAAAATCGTTTTCACGGTTTGCTCCTCCCGTTGCCTTTTCATCAAACCTGGTTTTATTTTTTCGAAACATATTTGGGACAACAGGAGTTGCAAAGAGAAAGGGAAACAGGAAAATTAGTCTTTCTTCTGCCAGTGGGAGTATCCTATGACCAAGTCCTGCTTTGGCAATCGGCTTAGATCTTAAATGCTGAAGAGGAATTCTAGCAGGTATCAATGAGGCAGAACAAGCTTAAGAGGGGGGAAATAGGAGGTATTCAAATCTGTTCTAATTGCCCTGCTTACCCTGGAAAAGCTACTTCCAAATTGTGGTTGGAAACAGGCTGTGATGGTTTTTTGGTTAGAAAGTTGTCATGCCACTCTTTTCGTACCATTTACATTCCTTCAAGGTAGCTTTGTTTGTTTGTGGTTTATATGATTACCCACCTTACAAAACGTGACTCTGCAACACGCAATAAAATGATAATATTTTTGTAAAAATCAACAATTACAAAAAAAATTAGTATTATTAAAAGGCTAGGAGAGAGCATAATTTCTTATGAGCAATGGAACCATCTCATCATATTACTGTTCCCTTGAGAGCCCCAGGGCTGTAAATACTACCAGGTTTTAAGGGGTTCCAGAAGATGGACAGAGATGGAACCAACTTCTCACCATTTAAGTTTTTGTCCTTATATGCAGTGAGATACACATTCAGGACCTCAAAACTGCTGGCAGAAATTCATATTTGGAAGATAGGCAGATTTGGAGGATGAGCTAAATCATTCTCCTTGTTACTTTTTTCAACCTCACCTATGGGAAGATTTTTTTCTAGATAATACAGGAAAATCAGAATGATGTTAATTCTATATCTATATGTAATTACAACTGGATGTATGTTCTATCTATGACAAGTAGTTCAGTGTTTTCATGAAATACAAGAAATTAAATAATACCTTACTTTAACAAAAAAAAAAGTTTAAGAAAGAGGAAGAATTCACATTGAGAGCAATACTTCAGTACTTTGGCTTGCATGATATATGACCTGCATTGTGATCTTAACATTGTGAGCTTAACAGAGTCTATTGGAGTTGGGTGGATTATTAATTCAAATAAATGTTTCCAGTGAGTTGTTATGAGTCTAGCCTATCCTCCACTTTTAAATCAACTTTCCTAGTTCATTAATGTCTCCTCAATAAAATGTGAAGTAATAAAGCATCCCTTTTAAATTGCAGACATTGATGAATGTTCTTTTGAAAGGACATGTGACCATTTGTGCATCAATCATCCAGGCACTTTTGAATGTATTTGCAACGAAGGATACATTCTTTTTGGCTTCACACATTGTGGCGGTGAGTGTATATAAACGTATTGCTGGCATTTTGTTTGGAATTCTATTTCTATGATCTCAACATGAAAAGGAAATGTGCATTTCAAACTCCGTGCTGCAGATTTTTCAGATTATTTGCCTTTCTGTTTTTCGGGTGGTTTGAAGTAGGAGCCTGAATCTGTACACATTAGACTATTCCTTAAAACAACTTTTCTTTCTTACTTTTACTGGAAAGCAGCTGTAGGTTTTGGAACAAATAGTTGCATTCCACACTTGGGTACTAAGAGTTGGATTTTGCAGATCATGCTTGCAAAGTACTGTTGGCAATACTAATTATGGCATGTAGTAATTATCTGCAAGGTTAAATGCTAAGCCAGAATGGTTTTAAGAAATGGATAATGTGTGTTATATGTAGAGGTCACATAAATAAGATAGCTATAAAAGAAAAGATAAAATAAATTGTGGAGAAATTAAATGAAACAGGCATCTAGGAAGAGTATGAACCAATAAGGAAAATGGCATCATATATACATTTGCCCTGGTCTATATCAGCTTTTAATTATTGTACAATCAGTTAAAGGAACAAGACAAAAAACTATCACCTAACAACAAGAACTATTAGCAACCATGTATTTATGGGTGAAGCTTACACACATAATGTAGCAAAATTTTGCTGCTCTTATAGAAATAAATTTATCTTGATTGTTTAACATAATCAACTGGTGGTCAATGTCCCTATAGAACTGGCAATCAGAAAAACACAAGCCCCAAAAATGGTTGATAGTAGTTCTTGTGGTTAGGGATAGTTTTGTGTTGTTACTTTTATTGATTGTATTTTCATTCAAAGTGACGTCTTTACCAAGACAAGGATGCAATTCCTACATTTTATTTCAGGGCAAGTGTGGTTCTTCATTGTGACTCATCGTCTTCATTGAAATATGCTACCTTACATTCTGTTTTTAATGAAAATTGCTTAAAATCAAATTTGTTAAATTTTGACTGTACAGATGTATGTGGTTGCTAAGAATTAACAGCAACTTGATGGCACATCAAAGAATCATCAACTGGGCACCAGTGATTTGTCCTGAACATTTTGTGAGAGGTTTCCAGAAAAAGCTGGTCTGTGTGCGTGCAAATGCATGTTTTAAGTTTTTGGCAACGGTATCAAAATATCCATGCTGCAGAAAAACATATTTAGCTCTTTATGTATTGTGTGCCTGGCAGTAGTTATCCATATGCAGTTCTTTGCTAACTAAATTCAGAACAGCATCAATTACTCCCCCCTCATTCTTCTTCTGTAGATATCAATGAATGTAGCATGAACAATGGAGGCTGCCAGCATATCTGCATAAATACACTGGGTAGTTATCAGTGCCACTGTAATGCCGGGTATAAATTACACTGGAACAAAAAGGACTGTGTGGGTAAGATTCAGAGTCTCAAACCTTTTTGCAGCTTTGGACCACTTGAAGTTCTGTGCACTTCACATAATATATGGGAATGTGTCTGTACATTTCCTTTTATTACCCTAATTCTTGGAACAATGCAGACTGAAACAATGAATGGTCTTCCAAATTGCATTCAGGTCTCCTAAAAGTTACTGTAGATCTATAGCAATACATTGCTTCTAATTAGCTGATAAAACAAAAACAGGAGATACTTTCGGGTCTTTGATGCTTTCTTTCCTGTGCTTTTAATCTAGGCTGTTTTTCCTTTTGCAGTTGTCTGCATGACCCCTTCCTCCCGCCTCAGCTTTTTATAATACATTGTGTGTATGTCTTCATTCCCAGCATTATGAATAGCATATGTGCAAATTGATAGTGATTATGTAACATGTAACTTCGTATTTGCATTTTAGAACCATGCCTGCCATTAGCTTTCTTGTCCTGTGAGTGTCTGTGTTTTGCTCTATAGAAAGGCCCTTGTCTGATGTCCTTTCCCCCAAAGTATCTCTGCGCTGCATTAAGACTGGTGGAAATGATAGATGCTTTTTAATCTGCCTCTCGGATGTCCATTTTGCTTCTGGTAAGTCACGCAGAACACGGGAGATATTGTTATTATTGTTGCCACTGCAATTATTATTATTATCCTTAAATTAGGGAAACCAGAATAACTTAGATAACTTTGATGTATTTGCATACATTATAGGAGAATTCATGTTGAACAGCTAGTCCTTAACTTGTAACTGTTCATGTAATGATGATTTTCAAATTATGACAGGATCTGAAAAAATTACTAATGACTTACACTATGATCATTGGAAACTATCATCCCTCCCACTTAATGAGAAATTATGATAGCCTATGAAAATGTTACTTATGATCTCAATTTGCACCATTACAAACCGTCCCACTAATCCCCCCCCACAGTCATGTGATCACTATTTGGAATGTTTTTTATAGGTTTCTGGAAACAAATGCCATGGGGAAGCTGGATTTGCTTAACCACCACATTATTTGCTTAACAATGGTGACTTGACTTAACAACCATCATAGAAATGGTTATAAAATGGGGTCCAGTCACATGGTGACTAAATGACTTCCAACAAAAATTTCAGTCTGAATTGTGGTCGTAAGTTGAGGACTATGTGTAATAAATATATTTTAATTGTATTCATTTTCTATTCTACAAATGTACGTTGAAGCTTTTTCTTCCAATAATCCTTCGGTAGTTGCTCCTGAAATGAAGCATAATATTTATATAACCTGGTAGTTTTGTATTATAAAAAGAAACAGCAGCAAATTGTTTATCATTGACATAGTTGATGGCAACACAGAATATTTTTAAAAACGTTGTCTATAAATGTGCTGTAAGAAAAATATATTTCATTACTGTGTCCACAAGTTACTTAGCAGCAGAAGTGCTATAGATTAAAATTTATCTGAACTGCCTTCCTTGAAAACTGTCCTCTGCTAACTACTCAACTAACAGATATTGGGGAGTTGTAGACTTTTTATGAAACAATTTTAAAATTTGCCGAAGGATAGAAAAGATATGTGGAGCTTTAAAGCTCTGTGATTTCCCTTGTGCCTACTGAAATGAACATTTTGAAAAATATAAGTAAGTCAAGTGTGGTTCAGAAGGCCCTTTCCTATGAATCCTGGTAATCTAGCTAGGACAATGGAAAAAACAGATGGAAGCAAAAATCTCCCTCTTGTTTCTATCAATTAAAGGTAAGAAAATAGCAACTGGAACTTCCTTTTATGGTGAGAAAACATGATGGAAATAAACGGTGTGGACTGACTGATCCTATCTGCCTAATATTTTAATTTGATTTAATTTAATTTCATTATTTAAAAGCTCATCATTTGATAACCTGGATCTTTTAGAAGACCTCTATCCTCTGAGCTTTCAACCCTTCTTTCAGGTTGAAAGAATGTGCATGGCACTTTTGTGTCAGTTTTGAATTGACTACAGCAAACTTCCTTAAACTGCTGTGTTTCATTATATGCTTGGTTATAGATTCAATAGTTGTGGAGTTTTTTGTGCTCTATGAACTTGATTATTTGTCTGTATGTTTCATTATTTAAATAACATCATCACTGGTACTAAATATGGGGATTGCTCCCTGTTTATATACAGTAGCTTGCCTTCCAGTATTGTAGGGAGTGGTTTTCTCCTTAATAGTTTCTTGATTTGGTTATTGTTTTTTGCTTGATTGTTTGTCTGATGGTAACCCTGCTTATTCGGGATGTCTTTTTTCTGGTCTGTTTCTTTTCTTCCTAGCTTTTTATTGTCTCTTCTGAATAGTGTGTAAATGTGATTTATGTGTATGTATCTATCGATAACTGATTTGTCTGAATATCAACCTTCTAGGAATTCTCTTTCATCTAGCAGCATGACTTTCCAGTGAAGATAATTCTATAACATGAAATTCTGAAATATTATCTAATAGTGTCCTCTCTGACTAGTGTAGGGGAAAAGTAAGATTACATTGCTTTAAAAATTTCTACTCACTATTCAAATCATTTGACTGGGGTTTGTGCTAGAGAATATGCCAACAAGTGGAGTCTCTGGTTCCTGGACCTCAAATTCTTGCTGTATAGGACATAATAAAGCATTTAAGTCCATTTTTATATCACATTATCTCAGATCAAGATATAAAATTCATCCCTTGCCCTTTTACTCTCAGTTTTGAAATCTAGCTTTTCTGGAAACACTGTGGTAGGGAGTTGATAGAATATTCACTTTCCTCTGTGAGTTGTCCAAGCTTTTTTTGTAAGTTCTTTGCTAGGTTGAGGTCTCTGGTAATGATACAATTTGATGAAGAGGTATTTGGGCTTGTGTATCTTTGGGTGTCCATAGAAGCATAGGATTTTGGTGCACTGCTTTTCATCCACCACTATGATTCTTTTGTGATTTGACTTTTCTTGGTTAGATCATTGAGAATTTTCTTGATCTAATTGTCTAGTTTCTGTATTGGGTTGGTGTTTACTGAGATGTAAGTTAGGTTCTTTGTCCTTCTGCCCATGATAACCACGGTTCAGTCTTTGTCAGCTGGTAGAATAGTGTTTTTGGTTCTTTAGGTGTTTTAGGGCAATTCTCTGCTTTAAGGTGGTTCTGCTTCTATGCTCTTCTGATCTGTGGAATGATTGTCTGCCTTATGTTTTCTTTGAGAGCACCAAGGGCTTCAGAGTTCTACCAATATTTACATATGTCCTATTGCAATTCCATAATTTCAGAACTGTAGTCTATTTTGATGGGAATAAGTAAGGCTATGTATCAAAAGGGTGCCATGACTAGTAATGCATATGATCTGTGTTTTCTAAGAAAAAAGCACCATGGATAAAGAACATTGCTTGTTATTATGCTTGCCAGGCAATTCCAAGCTATAGATTTGTATAACATACAAACATTTACACAAACATACAGATTTTATCTAACACAAACTGTGTCTCAGAAATTAGGGGATAAGGACTATTAAACAGATAAAAGTGCAAAACTTGTAACTGCATGTTACAAACTGTATTAAAGAGTTTAAGACCTTGAAATAGGACAGTTTGACATAAGTCAGACTAAATAAAACTCAGATAAGGTACTCAGAAGACAATTTCTTTTTTAAATTCTCTCTCTCTCTCTCTCTCTCTCTCTCTCTCTCTCTCTCTCTGTGTGTGTGTGTGTGTGTGTGTGTGTGTGTGTGTTTGTTGAGACTGCCTCTGTAATTTGATAATCTGATCTGACAAACAGTATTTTTGATTCACTGTATTCAATGTCAGAGTGATTTTGAATAACTTGCAACAGTACAGAACTTTCATCCTCTCCTTTAGTAAATGGAGTCTACATCTTTGTGTAAATAATTACAAATTTTATTTATTTGTTTATTTATTTATTTATAAAATTTGCCGCCCATCTCGTATCCAATGACTAAAGATAATCATATTTTGTAATCTTGAAGCATTGTTTATATATTAGTGTAAGGATAAAGTGGTTGTGGTCCTTTATATGTTGCTGAACTGTAATTCTCAACAGTGCCAACTAATATAGACCATGCTGGGAAATGTAGTTCAGCAGTAGCTGAGGAATCATAATTTTCCTGTTGCTATATTAGAATGAGCTTTCAGGGGTATATTTCAGCCATGCTCTAGCATGTGTTTCTGTTTTATTGTATAGCCTTATGATCTGTCTCTTAGGCCTGGAAGATTCCTATACTATAAAATGTGGCAACCCTTTATCACCTAAGAAAAAAATACAAAATCCAAATGAATCAACTACTTTAGGTAATTATTTTATATGCATGTTTTCAAAATATATTAAACATTTATGGCTGATTTGTTTCTGTTTTGTTTTGGTTTATTTGTAGGCCTGCTTGCCAATAAAGGAAATATTGCTCAATTAGTTAATTAACTTGCCTAATTTTTCTTGTGTTTGAGCAGATTTTAATTTTCTTTAAAATAACTTTTGTCTGTTTTAATGTATTCTTTTTGCATCTTGCAGCAACCAGAAAAATAGAAAAGGCATTGCTGCCTTTTTGGAGGGAAATAGTATAAATATCTTAAGGTAGCGCTTTCATGTGTGCCTTTTGTAAGCAATTTAAAAAACACATATATTTTAAAATATAACTTTTAAATTGATGGTTTTTAGTCAGTTACCTGACTGATGCTGCAGCTGTAGTGTTGTTTTAATTTTATTTTAAACATTCATCATGTCTTAATGATTTCACATCAAAAGTTTTGAATATAAGAGCAAGCAGCTGATTTCAAGGTACATGTTTATCTAAACTTAGCATGATACATTTGCTAAGGGCTAGCATGACACATAGCTTAGAGTCATCATCTGCCATTAAAGTGGATGAAAGTTGCTGCTGTATGTTTTATTATTAAATTGACTAAACCCAGCTATAATATATCATCAATTGTAAACTTACCACAGTGTCTGTGTTCAGCCATGGTTAGCCAAAACAAACTATAATATGGGTTATTATAACAATCTAGTTATACTACCACTAATAATTTTATTTGTTTGGCTTTGGGTTAGACAATGTGGTTTGATGCAAGTTCTTTAGTTACTTCAAATATTCCTATACCCTCAGTGTACTATATATTTTGGCTTGGCTTGTTTGCTTTCATTTTTTGACTCCCTCTTGAGATGAGGAGTTTTTGCATAGTTTATTTGTTTGTTTATTCCATTTATATGGCCGCCTACTTGCCTTGCAATTCTAAGTGGCTAATAAAAAATTAAAATATCAAATGCAAAGGAAAAAGTTAAGATAATGAAAGAAAGAAAACAGGATGCTCTGGGAACTAGACCCATAACCCATATAGAATTAAATGAGGCATGTGGAAGCCATCTATATTACCTGCTTGGTTTTGGTAATGAATTCAAGTTAATTTGAAAATAATTATTTTACTGTTTCTTTCTGAAGATCTCTCTATCATCAGGACAACTGTAACTTTTAAGTTTAATCAAGGAAAATGTAACTTGAAAAAGAGTAAGATGTTTCAGGATGCTCTTCACCATGTAATACCAGGTATGAATGACAGTGCATAGTTTAAAATGGTTGTTTTTGTAGATCATTTATGACTTGATAGGATTTGTGGGTTTCTGTTGTTGTAATGATTCACAATTCTTCTCAGATTTGGGATATAACTATAAATGTTTCTAAAACAGTTTGCTGGTATGTGACACGCTAAATATCCAAACTGGTAGCTGCAGTTGTTTGTCATTTGTAAGCATCTGGAATTAATCATGTAACTCTGCATATTCAGCAACATTTATCAAGCTTTAGCAAATGCCCAGTAACAAATTTGGCCAAGTTGCTGCTTCCTTTAATTTTGTCCACACAGAGAAACATAATTCAATAATGGAGAACTTCTACTATGTAAACCTAACATGCAGTTCTGGCAAGAAAACTGTTGGAGACCTCGGCAGAATGAAGGCAGCTAGAGAAATGTTTATATCTGCAGACTTTGAGCTTGAAACAGACCAAAAGGAGGTGGCAGGTTGGTTGGAAAAGAACTCACAGTACAACTGAAAGGCTTCATTTCTGACAGAGCTTTGTTGCAGTTTGATCTTTTTGAGTTCTCTCTTTCATTTCCATTTCTATGCAAAAAAGAAAAAAAGTATCTCCTGTTTTGAAGCTTAAGAGCTCTTTTCCATATGATCAGAAAGCTACTGTGGCTAAAGATGTTATTGTTGTACATTAACGTCTGTTTTGTGTGCCTTGAAAATTTCACCTCAGGACAATATTTGTTGCCATTATTTAGGCAGGCTGCCTTCTCAGTTGCCGTACCAGCTATCTTTTTAAAGTAATGGTTCTATACATCCAAGCTTTTTGCTCCTAATCACTACTACCTGCTCCTTTCTAGATACGTGTAATTTGAGCTGTGCACGTAAAAGGACTGAGAAAAGGCTTCGTAAAGCTATTAGAACTTTGCGGAAAGTCATCAACAAAGAGCAGTTCCATATTCGCCTCTCTGGTGTAGATCATGGCGTGGCTCGAAAGCCTCCCAGAGCAGTAGATACCCAGGATCCCTGCAGCGTAGGTCAAAAGTACCTGGATAACAAATGTGGTAAGTAGAATGAACAGAAATTAATATTGATGAAATCTCTCAGATGTGCATCTCATTCTCTTTGCGTTATTTGATCTGTCTGACACTCACAATATCAGAAAATCATGCAGCTATTGAAGGAATGGCTAGATCAATAAATGCTAGAATTCTACATTTTACAGCACCACAAAAAAGTATTTGTGGAAAAATAATGACTCTTATGTCAAGGTTATTTTCTTTGGGCTCAATGTAAGTCCTCTTTGTTATTTCTATTCCATTGTCTCCGACCTAAGCTTTGTAATTCATTTTCTATTCATTTTTCATTCCCCCCCCCAGTATCTGAAAGCATCTGTCAGTTTCATAATACTTAGTACTGTATTCACTGTGAACTTTATTGTTTATCCCATTTATCACGAAAACATGGTACAAAAGATGTTTATTTAGAAACATGTGTTTTAACTCCATGAGTTCATTGAACTGAAAGCAGTGAAATCCTTGATACATATTTTAAAACAAAAACTCTAAAAAAGAACTATGATTACAAAAATACAATGGAAATATGAGATTCCAAAACAAATGTTTCAATAGCACATTGACAGGATTAGTACCTATATTTTGGATTATATGGAAAACTAGCTGATACAATAAGAATGAATTCTATGGAAGCTCAAGTTTTTGTGCTTTCCTCTCTTCTGTTTGGAAATATTCCCATACTATGCCATGCCATTCAGGCCAACAATCTGTGCTTAATGTTAACCTTTGCTTCTTTGAAATGAATCTATACGTCTCTTGAGAAACCCCAGAAAATGAGGTGGGGAACACACTCATATTCACTTCCAGATTTATGTGAAATTATGTCCCATTCCATAGCGGGAATGGGGTTTTGAAGTAGGCCAAGATATAATGTCTTCAGACCGCTTGAACTAGAGAAAGGAAGAAAGAATCCAGCCTTTGATTTGCATCCCTCAATCTCTAAGAAATTGCAAGGGCTGCCACAAAGAAAAGGGGGTCAAATTATTCTCCAAAGCACCAGAGGACAAGACAAGAAACAATGGTTGGAAATTGATCAAAGAGAGAAGCAACCTGTTAGGAGAAAGTTCCTAACTGTTAGGAGAAAGTTCCTAACAGTGAGGACAATTAACCAGTGGAACAGCTTGCCTCCAGAAATCGTGGGCACTCCATCACTGGAGGTTTTTAAGAAGAGACTGGACAGTCACTTGTCTGAGATGGTATAGGTTCTCCTGCTTGAACCGGGGGGGGGGGAGCTGGACTAGGAAGGCCTCCAAGGTCTATTCTATTCTATTTTCTATTCTATTCTATTCTATTCTATTCTATTCTATTAATTTTTAATCTATGAGATACCTATATGATAGCAAGTCACTTAAAGAGGCAGCAAATAAATAATAGTAAATAAATAAATAAAATTATTGGAAGCAATATGAAGTCATTCTTCATCAAAGACAGATTAACTTGCACTAGAGTTTCAATCTTTTTCTTTTTGGATTTTGTTTATCTTGCCTTTATTTATTTTTTAACTAACTCAAGATAATGAACATACCTAATACTCCTTCCTCCTGCTTTTTTAATTGTAAATCTTATCCTATTATCTTAATTGTTAAAAATTGTTTAAAAAGATAAAAATACACAAACAAATACACTCGGTGTGTAGTTTTGTATGTCTGATGTTCAGTGTATTGCTACTTTTTCTCTTTTAAATAACAGGGTCTTGAGCAGAATACGAGAAGTTAATGTATTTTCTAAATCAGAGATAATAGCTAACTGTTCTTACTGTTTCAGGAATAATAGATTTCAGAGTGCAGTTCTTACGCACAAAATTTCTCCATATGTTCACAGCTTATGAACCAGTAAGAAACCAAAACAACAACAACAAAGATTCCGAAACAATATAGCTTAGAGATATAATCCATTAGTTTTTGTCTTTTTTCTTATGAAATCAGGGCATGGGTCTTCAAGGGTTGGTTAGTTGTGGATCATAACTTCTTTTATAAGGTTCACCATCTTAGTCAATGAGACACTATAGTGTTTGTCCATGGCTTCAAAATCTCAAAGCTGAAACTGGCTGAATAGGGAGAAAGAACTTTCAAATGTCTTTGTAACTTATAATCCAGGCGCCCTCAGGGTGCCTCTCTCCACATCTATCTTTTGCATCAGAATAGCTTTCATTTCACCCCTGAAACTCTTGTATAAGTTAAGAATAGGGTTTTAATGGTCAATGAACACAACAGAAAAGGGTGGTTACAGGAACAGAATCTGTTAATGGTGAATGGCTCTTAACTTCATTTGAAGAAAAGAAAGGCAAGCAGAAAGTTTGCTGAATCCTTAATGTAGTTTCATTATTTCTAAACTATTGGTCTTTGTTTTCAAAGAAGGCGGGTTTTGTATTCTGTGGAACACCTTATGTTTTTTTGCAGTGATGTTGTTATTTTGTTCATACTGAAAGATCAGTGATGTCTTTAAAAGTTAGTATACAGCTGTTGATTACTTCACAGAGGGAAATTTTATACAGGCAAGAAACAATCTACAGTAACTGTTGGTCCTCCAGATCCTGTCCCTGATGGCTAAGGCTGTTAGAAGTTGTCATTCAGTATATTATTTATACCAGCATATTTCTGCTTTATTACCCTGGAGAAAAGTATCAGGAATATCTCAATAGAATGCGTAAAGCAACTATTTGATATGTAGCTTTCATTTTGAGCAGTGGAAGAGATTGTTATTTTAAGTAGGATTCACAATTTTAAAGGGTCTATCTGTTCCTGGTTATTTAATTAAAATTGTCTCCAGTTTAGTCACACATATGAAGATGATATTTTAAATTACTGTTCTTTTTTTCTTGCCTCTGTTGAAACTGTTAAGTAGCTATAAGCCTAGACAGTAGCTATGGATTCACTAGTTTTAAAAAAAAAAGGTCCAATAACATGTAAGCCCCATTGATATTAGGAGGAGAATTGCAGCCAGTTTTATGCATTGTATGTATGTGTAGAGCTAGGAAAAATCCAGTAATGGGTCCTATTTTCAGTTTTATAGGATTGTAGACCTCCTATAAATGTCTTCATATACATATACATAATTATTTAATTGAAACCCATACATCACTGGGAAGAATATTGCTCAGCTGATGTGGCTACTTTCGTTTTTTTAGAATGCTTAATCTTGTAGTTCAGTGTTTCTCAACCTTGACAATTTTAAGGCATGTGGACTTCAACTCCCAGAATTCCACAGCCAGCATTGCTGGCTGTGGAATTCTGGGAGTTGAAGTCCACATGCCTTAAAATTGTCAAGGTTGAGAAACACCGTTGTAGTTCAGTGATGCAATTAGTCTAGAATCCTCTTGCCTTCAAGGGCCACGTTCTCTCAGAAGTGATCTATAAGGGATAGCTCAAAGAATAGGGCTAAAGCAAACAGATGTTTTCACTTGAACATCCCCTTTTTCTTTGTCTGGCCCCATTTTCAACATTGGTGTCAGAAAGAAAACAGATTGGTCTTATTAGAAGTCTGACCCAATTTCTTTAGTAGGGAATTTAATCAAAATATTTCCCTGAAAGAACAACTGTAATCCTATGAAAGAAAATTGCTGATTCCTACAGTATGTTAGAGATCCTGTTCAGTTGGCTTCCAGGGATTTTTAAGTTGAGATGTTGCTGATCAAATAAGGTACATTTCAGCTGGAAAGCAGGTGTCTTGAAAATGTGTTACAGATTTTCTAGTAAAGTTCATGTCTCAGTTTTTATAGATCTTTTTTTTTAAAAAAAAAAATGTGGACCTAGAACAAAAGAAAGCAGGTGAAAAAGTCCATCTGCCATGGCTTGAACATCTTTTCTTTTTAGAAAAAAAATCCTGTAGGAAAAGTAGAAGGTTCATCTTCAGAAACTCAGAAGAAAACCATAATGGGACAAGAGTCCATTTTCCTGTTCCAAAATATCCCTTATAGTTGTGAACATTCAGAACATTGTGTTGCTCTAAGTGAAGAAAGATTAATTTGCCATTTGCACATTATGAGTGAAATTGTGAAAATAGTTATGAGATTTACATTGTAGAGTAGCTGTTCAGGAGTAATAATGATGGTTAGCAATTCAGTGAAATAACATACCTTTAATTGTAAATAGTACATTCAAACATAGGTTAAAGCTTCACCCTATGTAATATTCATCCTTCTCACTGAAGAGAAAATACTTTCTGTGACTGCCTGTTTTGCTTTTTATTGTTAGCTAGCTGCAGTGTTGGAACATATTTTGATGGGGAACAAGAAAGTTGTATTTTATGTCCTAATGGAACTTATCAAGACAATGAAGGTCAAATTGTCTGTGAACCTTGTCCAAATCTTCAACGTTCTGGGGACTCAAAAGCAGTTGGTGCTCGCAGAGTAACTGAATGTGGAGGTAAGGATGTTATGCAACACATTGTGTTTGGAGAGAAAGACTTGCTGTTGCTTCTCCCTCTTTACATATGCTGAAAAATGTTCATTAACATTAGGCTTTGGAGAAATATTATAGTGCTAGAGTTTAGCTAAACAATTTACAGAAAAAGTAGGTTTGCTCTTCATTGCAGGTGAATGTACAGTAGAGATTTGAGGCTGTGAAAGGTGTAATCTAACATTTCCCTTCCTATTATTAACTGCTCTGAAATGGGCAGAAAAAAGATAGAGGTATCTCTGTAGAATCTTGCTGGGAAATATTTGCCTGAATAAAGGCAAAGCCTCAGCTTCCAACACGATCCTAGCTATGAAATTCTTCTTGATCTTTGATCAGTGCATTCTTGCTGTAGCCTGTAGCCCAGAGAATAGTGGGATTACAGAGAAACTAATAGATTATACTAGACTCCAGAAGATGGTAGAGGACAGGAAGGCCTGGAGGAATGTTGTCCATGGGGTCGCAATGGGTCGGACATGACTTTGCAACTAACAACAACAACAGAGACTAAGGAGGATAACCTATATTACCTACTGAACATCAATTTCGGATCATCTGGAGCAGCAAAGATTGCCTATGTGTAAAACTGCCCAGACATGTTCCTAGTATTCATTCAAGAGAGGATTTTATAGTACATCACTAAAAGCTAAATTCTAAACTCAGCCCTGCTGACTGAAGCACCCAGGGCCTCTTGGTAGTATTTCAGGGCTGTGGTAAACAAGAGTGATTTAAGCTATGTATTAGAGACCACAGACAATTGCTTGCAACAGGGCAACAATAAAGTAAATCTTGTAGTTTAAATTTTTCCTGGATGGTTAAGAATATACCAATTAAAATGTTTTAAAACTGTGGGTTGATATTATCCAGTAATCAGACTATGTTTTGCCTTTTAAATGTATTCAATGGATTTTCCGAGAAGGAAAGAGCTAAATTTATTATACTTTAAAGCCATTTCTGTGAATATAATTTAATGCCATGTAAGATGGGAAAAAGTATTGGAACTACAGAAGTACAGGATGATTCTGGAATGAATATTCTGGGAAAAAATATTTTTAAATACAGTTGTTTTACTTCTAGAAAATGCTCTAGATATGGGAAATGTAGATACATTATGAAGATATCATTTAATCTAATTTTCATTATTTTTTATTTAGCCTAATATTCCTTCAATTCATTTTATCTAATATTACTTACTCTGACAGACAGTGCTGTCCAGATTTTCATACAGGATCTGTTCTTGACATAGGTGGAAATGAATCCGTGCATTTTCCTTTCCTACCCTTTCTAGGGCTATGAACCTTTCCCAAGGCTTTTATGTGATGGGTTATTTTCCTGAATGAGCAAATGCTTCTCTGATGGCTACGTAGATGGGGAAAAAATGCTAGCTAACAGTGCTTAACTAATGAAAAAGGGATGCAGAATATTTGCAACCAGCTCTTTCTTCACAGCCATTATACAATGAAAATATTTAATACTAATGGATATAAGTAGCACAGGTTCTGGATAAGTCTTGATGGAAAAATAGAACTGCAAAGATCTAATATACCTTCCTTCAATCTTTGTTCTTAATGTATTGTAATGTATCTCCATTGCAGTAATATATTAGATTTTAATACAATATTTCTTTTTCCTGGCATACTAAATTTCTTTGATAAAGGAGACCTCAATGTGGAATAGAACTGCAATTCTCTACCTGCATTCTTAATACGTGAACCCAAAATGTTCTATTTCTTAATATTTCTGATTAAATAGTTTGGCTTAATATTTTGATCCACGATACAACTCATTCTCTATTTTCTTTTCTAGTACAGAAAAAATGGGCTTTTTGTTTGATTTTATTGTGAATTTTATACTTTCCATTTACAAATCCCTGCATAGTGCTCAATAAAATATCAACACTGAACATTTTGTAAAATACCTATATTCTACATTTAAACTATCAGTTTTCAATCAAGAAGTGTGGATGATGTGTTGTTTGATACCATAAACATAGTTTGGTAACTGGTGTGGCTAATCTGCAGTTAGGTTGGCCTATTGATAAAGGAAAGTGGCATATCCTATGATTCAAATTAAATATCACCATCTGGGGAAAATAACTTAGATTTGCATATAATGTAATATCTTAGTTACTTCCAAGCTCAAAAGAAAAAGTGTTGGGAAAGAAATGGTTTCTTCATGTCTCTCGTGTCATGACTAATGGCTCAGTGTCTATCATGTCATTATCTTCCTTCACTGCTGCAAAGAGTGCATATGGTTCCTTCTGCTGCTTTATTCATAAGCCAAGGCCGTTTTTCCTATTAAACACAGCTCATTAGCTGTAAACAAAATCCTCATTCCTGATCAAGAACAGTTAGTGCCTTTTTTTTCTGCGAACTTAAATAACCTGAAATGAAGCCAAGGCCAATTTAGCCCCTCTTAACAAAAACAGCCATTTGGTGAAGTGATTTATTGAAGCTGTAAACCACAAGCTAACAGATTTAACCTCTCTTTAAAAGTTAAGAACTCCACAGTATAGCCAAACAATTGCAGCAGTAATCCATTGTCTTACAAAGCAGTTTAATCACTTGTTTTGTCTTTGCAATCTGCTTACTGCAAATTTGGGAGATACATCACTCAGATTTACGTGGAGAATCTATAGGCAACATGAATATAATCAGTTCTAGTAGATTAGCTCTGTTTTTATAATATCTGAGCATCAAAACAGTTCAGAAGCAGAGATATTAAAGACCAGGGATAGGAATTTGATGTAATTATTTCTACATCATCTATTTACAATATGGCCTGCATTTGTATGTATTATTAAAACATTTTGAGTACAGTTTCACTGTCATTTCTGCCTTGCAAATGTCCTTCAACTGAACTGAAAGTGAATGGGTTTTCAAGACAAGGTCTGTGGAAATAAAGCATAAGCAGAACCAGGCATTGTTAAAATATCTTCAAACAAAGGATAACCCTCCTATTCTTTATTATCTGTTAATTCAGTATATAAACTAAAGGGGCTTATTACTTCATAAAATAGAGATGGGTAGAATATTGGGAGGTACATGAAAATTTCTAATTCCTTTTCTCTTAAAAAATGGCATGGTATTTTTACATAGATAACTGGTAGGGAGGAGCATTGAAAATTAAGCTGTTATGCCTCTTGCAGCTTTTCCTGACCTTGTTTTCTCCAGATGTGTTGAGATTACAACTCCCACAATTTTTAATTTGTGTCAAAGTGAAGATCCAACATATATCTATATCAGATTGGGTTGGGGTCCTATTTTGCAACTTTGTTTGGTTTTTCTGAATTGTATACTTTAAGACAGATAAAGGAAGGCAACTCATAAAAGGTACAAATGAATAATTGTTTGACCCAGGACACAATGACTAAACTATGCTATTTGTTTGCAATTTAACTAAAATAAAATATTTTGTTTCTTAATCTTACTGATTAGATAACATATTATAGTACTATATTATCTATGTACAAAAATGCTTTCTCTCTTTCAAGCCATTAATCTCTAATAATTTTAGTAGAATTGCAAGATGGATATATACAAGTCTGTTAATTTGAATATAAGCTCTTTCTTTAGCAGACAGCTGGAGCAGGAGACAAGCAACTGAATCACAACTATGTTATGAAGGCAGGATACTTCTTGCTATAGCTCCAGTTTGGAAAAGTTAATCCATTGTATTTGTGCAAGGGTAATAAATCCCTTTTTGCTTCAGTATCACATATGAATCTTTAACAAACAGAATGATTCTTCAGCACTTAGCAAACTTCAGAACCAATTCTCAATTAGTAATAGTTTAGTTAGGTGCATTACACTTGAATACAAGAGTCCTGGTGGCATAGTGGTTGAAAGCAGTATTGCATGCTAACTGTTGATTGCCAGCAGTTTGATCCTGATCTGCTCAAGGTTGACTCAGCCTTCCATCCTTCCGAGGTCAGTAAAATGAGGACCCAGATTGGTGGGGGCCATATGCTGACACTGTAAACCGCTTAGAGAGGGCTGTGAAGCACTATGAAGTGGCATATAAGACTAAGTGCTATTGTTATTGCTAATTTTCTAATAAAAAAGCAAGCCTATTAAAAACCTATTATCAGAAAGAGAGGCTGGTAATATAGTACAATGGAAGCTACTGTTTTCTTACTGTAAAAATAGGTTTCTCTGAATCAAGTTACATGTAAGTGTTAGAATTGAGAGCAGAGACAGGAAATTTTTAAATTGTTTTCTGTATTTTGTTTTAACAAATATTAAGAGTTTAGCATTTGATTCTAAGCTTGCATGTAGGCATCATTTTAAACTGATTTTGCTTCAGATTTTTATATCTGCCCTGTTACCCTTCTTTCTACTCCGCAGGACAGTGTTCACCGGGTGAATATTCAGCTGATGGATTTAAGCCCTGTCTTTCATGCCCTTCTGGGACATACCAGCCTGAACCAGGTCGAACATCTTGTTTTACATGTGGAGGAGGTCTGATGACAAAATTTACCAGTGCAACAATGTTTCAGGATTGTGAGACTAGAGGTAAGAATGGCAAGATTTCAAAACATTAAGCCATCATTTATTTCAGTCCTAAAGTTTCATCTCTCCCTCCCTCTGATCTGATCTGAATTTCTATATAAATTGTTCTTGAGTGACAACCATTTGTTCAGCAACCATCTGAAGTGATGATAAACGAGTTGTACCAGTCACGATTGCCATTTGTGACCTTCCTTGCCAGCTTCCCACAACCCTCCCAGCTAAGATAGACAATACTTTATTACCTACAGGAATACTTTTCACCATCCAGAATATAAGAACACCTAGTTTAAAATATCTTACATTAGACCAACGGCTCCCAACCTTTTCTATACCTCGCACCCCTAGAACGCTTCTGATATATTCTCGCACCCCTTACAAAAGTTCGAAATAATGGCAACAAATTATGCATATACACTATAATTTTAAAAACTCAAGTTTTTGCACCCCTTGGAATATCGTTTTGCACCCTGCATTAGACCAAAAATAATTTTTAGGCAAGAAATAATTGGCATATCCTCCAATCAAGCAAGGCACATTTAATCTCAGTGCCATTTCAAATAGTGAGCTTCCTATAATGATTTTTGTTTTCGCACGAAATTGAATATATTTTTCACCTGTGTGCCTTCTTGTGTCATAAATGTTATATGCATCTATTATGCAATAAACACAATTATCAAAATTTATGCTTTTTATAGTGTAAAATCTATGTTTTTATACCAATTTGCAGATATACTATGGAAATCATACAAGCTTTTATTTATACAGGGTTATAAGCATATCAGCTTGTATAAATTTATTTTCAGAAAAATAGTTAAATGAATTTAAGATGAAGAGCGCTTCTATTATGCCATAATTTTTCAAAATATTAGTCCAAGCTGATTTCTTATTTTCATTTATAGTGCAGTGCTCACCTGGACACTTTTACAATACAACTACGCATCGTTGTATCCGCTGCCCAAATGGAACATATCAACCGGAGTTTGGACAAAAGTACTGTATTTCATGTCCTGGAAACACAACTACTGATTTTGATGGATCCACAAGCATACTGCATTGCAAAGGTGAAGATTGGTGCTAAGTAAGAATAGTAAATTTTAGAATCCAGGAGATCAGTACAACTTGCCCTGCTTATATTCAGTTCAGTTGACTTTTTTTTTTTCACATCGTTGAAGAATCCTGTGCCATAGTTCCTTCTTGAGTTGCTGTGGTAACATTTCTATATATAGCAAATCACATGAGATTTCTTTCCTTGGGGGAATTGCAGCTTATATTCTGCCAAGGAATCAAGGCAGGCTAATAATACCAGAGCAACTAGATCCAGTTTTAGTATAAACGTATTCTCTAAAAAGATTAGCTGCTCTACTACTGTTTCAATTAATATGAGGTGTCCTTAGTGTGACAATCTTCAATAATGCTTCTAGGCATCTTGCACTTAATCCTCTGTTATTGCTGTCTTTCACTTTTTCTCATTAACTCAAAAAACGAAACTCATAAAAACTCATACTGTGTTCCAAGGGCTTCCTTTAGTATATTGGATTCTGCTCCCTCTTGGGACGCAGCGTATTTGACCTGGTTGTTTTCTTTGGTACCGATCTTAATGCAACTTATATAAGTGGAAACAAGAACAGTTGCCAACAATTTCATCAAGGTTTCTACTGAGAATTCTGTAACTGTACCTAAGGCCTTGCTTCCTAAGACTTTTGTTTACTCTCTTCCACCCACTGCCAACAGTATGTAGCAGTCTCCCTCCTTCCAATGTAGGGAGCCAGTGTATCCCAGCCATCTTCTAAAGGGCTCATTCATTTCATTTCATTTCATATATGCCTCACCTTTCTGTTCTAGATAAAGGCTGTTAACAAAATTAAAACAAAAACATAAATTTGACATGTTTAAATTAACACTAAAATTGATACATAATTTAACATTAATATATAGTAATTTAACGATTAAAAGCTTAGCAAAAAAAAAAAGAGAGAGAGAGAGAGAGATGCATCTCCAGTATTCTTCCCAATACTGAACTTATGGGAGCCAAACTCAGTTTCCAAGAAAGTGTACTCCATAATTGAAGAACAGTACGAGAAAAGGCTCTCTTGCATCTCAGAAAGATTGGCCTTTGATAGCAACCGCCATATGCAAAGGGCCTCTTCTACAGATATTAATAGCTGGACATATTCATAATGAAATAAGAGTTCCTTAGATAGTCAAGTTGTATGATCTTTTGCTTTTTAAAATTGAAGACTAACTGTGTTGTAGGTTTGGTTGACATCTGAGTACAATTCAAAGTGCTGGTCATTATCTTTAAAGTGCTACATGGTTCGACATTTTGATAATTTAGAGACTTTCTGCTTCAAGTGAAATGTATCCATTCATCCAATGAATATGTCTAGATTTGGGATGTTGTTGGTTACAAGCTCGGGGAAATGTTCTTTTTTACCATGTCCTCCATACTTAGGCAGCCTTCCATAAAGACTCAAAAGATATATTTCCCAAGAGTTTTTAAAAAGGTGGTTAAAATGGAATGTTCCAAAGAACATATGGTGTCCAATGTTGCCAGGGCTGGTTATTATGACAGAGATTTATTATAGGTTTAATGGGAATGTGGGTTATTTGTGGTTTCATGATTTTATTGATATATGTAAACCACTGGGAATCCATGTGGAATCGTTGGTATAGAATTAATATTGCAGGGTCTGGATTTCATTTCAGCCTGTTCCTACCACACACACAAACACAGTCTATTACTGAATTAGGCAATATTCAAAGGAACCAATTATTCCTTGGAATTAAGAAGTAAGGAGCATCAGAGATTGGTACCATCAGGGTACTAAAGACATCCCACCCAATGCCTGACACTCATAAATGATGATTTTGAGGGACTAGAGGAAGTGCTGCTACCAAGACAAAGGTTAGATAAATCTAAGTTCAGGACACAACAATAACCTGAAAACATCTCAGGGAAGACCCTAATAAAGGGAGGGAGGAGGGAAGAACATTCAGACTTGCAAGATTCTATTACTGTAAATCTATAATTGACCTGCATCATTTTAGTTTCCTAATCTAGTCTACCTTGGAGAGCTGTCACCAGTCAGCAGCGTAAGTGTTAAACAGTAGAGCTCCAGCACTGTCTTATGGATATAGCCATAAAGGAACAGTGTCTCAAAGCCTAATCCCACCTAGCAATCTGAACAATTCCAAGGCCAATGAACTGAAAGTACCAAAAGATCCAGGGTATCTAACAGGGCTTCATTTTTATCCAATTTAATTGCAGATCCTCTATCAAGTCAACCATATCAGTTTTAATACTCACTACTGTCACCATTTAACTAAGCCATGTAATGGTTTCTCTTCAGCCTCCACAAATGGAGAGTGTAGGTGAATCATAGAGAAGATCAGAAGAAGGAAACCATTAGCTATTTATTTTTGTGTTGGTGATGGACTATATATCAAGATACATTCTAGACTATATATCAAGATACAATGTGTAATGAGGAAGGGGTCTGTGGATTGGTTGCAATATTTGGTCAGCGTGGAGGCCATAAAGACAATCATACGTTGGTTGGAATAATTGGCAAGCATTGATTTTTCCCCCTTGTAGTGAGGAGATAGAACATATGATATGAATATCAGCATAGCTATGAAAGTTATGAATATGGCTACCAAAATGCCACTGGTATAATCCATTGTGTCAATGGGATAATCAAGTGCAGTAAAATAGTCATGTGGAAGGACTGTGTATGTTATCTTTGTCAAACTTGGACTATGTCAGGTCCACAAATAGGGTGATGTGTGAACATACTTCATTTTGAATCATTGCAAGCAGTTGTATATTAACAGTTGTTTAAGAAACTGTATGTTTGATTTCTATATAGAAGCTGAAGTTTGGTTTACAGTGTTTGATGAGTTTGGTGGCATTGGTTATCTTCTTCCACCTGCCCTCCCACCCCCCCACCTTTTTTTCATAGGCCATAATATGGATAATAGATTCCTTTCTTTTTTCAGACAGACATTGTGGGGGTGAGCTTGGAGAGTTTGCTGGATACATTGAGTCCCCAAACTATCCTGGAAATTATCCTGCAAACACTGAGTGCACTTGGACCATAAATCCACCTCCTAAGCGCCGTATTTTGATTGTGGTTCCAGAAATATTTTTACCAATAGAAGATGAATGTGGAGACTACTTGGTGATGAGAAAAAGTTGTAAGTTAAAATTAAGTAGATTTTGTTTCTCTGGATTTCTGTGTCAGGTGGAGTTCTATATAAAGTAACTTTAAAAAGCTACGCTCTGTTTATAGGCCTGCATATACTAACGCTTAGGTGAATAAAGGAGCATGGACCCAACGTCTGGAAATTCTATTGTTTTATTTTCCTTGGACTGATCTCTTCAGTATAAAAGTAATCCTTTCAATAGAAGAAAGATGTACAAATGATATTAATGCCTTGTAGGTGGGAAAAGCTCCTTTGTACAGTTTTGAACACTACAGGTAGTCCTCAAGTTACGAATCCATTCCATTCATAACTCGAGGATTCATAGGAGTGAATGGTGTACCTTGAACGCGATCGTTCCCTAAATGAATGCATGGTTTGTTAAGTGCACATGAGGTATATCGGGGGGGGGGAGGCCATGGGGGGCCTAGTGATGGAACAGGCCACCTGCTTCAGACCTCCCAAGGCCTCTCTTGACCCACTGAGATAACTCATGCTCCCCACAATTGCTTCCCCCCCATCCTATCATGACAGGCCACTTACTTTGTGAAGATATAGCGAGCTGTCCCCTCTCCAGCTGTCTCCTCTCCAGCCTTTCTGCCACACAAGATCATGGCGTCCAGAAGCTTTCAGTCTCGGCACCAAAATGTTTGCAAGCTGATGGGAGGCTTTGTGTCAGCGAAATCGCTACTTCAAAGCATCTGGCCCGCTTGCAAACTCTTTGGGTGCCGAGACTGGAAGCTTCTAGGGGCTGTGATTTCGTGGGACTTCAGGCATCCAGTCTTCGCACAAAATGTGCTTGAGGAAAGGCCTTTGCCTTTGCCGTCGAGAACCGCGCCCCGGTTTGATGCATGCGTCACTCTCGGCCTGCGTTCTTGGCAGCAAAGACCTTGAGGAAAGGCCTTTACCACAAAAAACAGAGTCTCAGCTTGATACGAGCGTCGCTCCTGGCCTGCATTCTCAGCAGCTAATGCCTTAAGAAAAGGCCTTTGCTGCCAAGAACAAAGGCCAGGAGTGATGCACGCGTCAAGCCGGGGCTCCGTTCTTGGCGGCAAAGGCTTTTTGCAAAGATGGCAAAAGGCTTTGCAAACGGTGTGGGGGGGGGGAAGGCTTTAATGTTTCAGGCCTTCCCTCCATTTACAAAGCCTTTTGCTGCAAATCTCGTCCAGGCTTCCGTTTGCAGTGTAGTAATGTGTTGTGAAACATGATTACTACACATTGCAGTGTAGTAATGTGTTGTGAAACATGATTTTTATTTTTATTTTTGTGGAGATTCTTTCCTAGATCTTTTCCCACAACAGACTACAAAACTCTTATTTTGGAAATGTTGGGAAGAGTTTGACAATAGCTTAAAATGCACCAAAATGCTTTCATACTATGTTGAGAGCAATAGTGACAAATATTGTATACATTACAATGAAATTGAAAAACAAACACCTTTGAAATAACAGCCTCCACTATTCTGGCACCATAATTTGATTACTGTCCCAGAATACTCAGTTCTTAGCTTGGTTGCATCAGGAAAACACTTTACTAAAGCAGACTTCAGTAGATAAACATAGTGACTACAGATAGCAGTCATCTTCTGCTTTTCACTAGAAGAGACTTTGGCAACAGGATAACTGATAGGATAACTTTCTTCGGGGAAAACTAATATTGGGGTAATAGTAGGACATTATGGGAAATAAAGCATAATAGAACTCTGATATCTGCATTTGTACATTTTGTTTGCCAGCTTCCTCCAATTCTGTGACCACATATGAAACCTGCCAAACTTATGAACGCCCTATAGCTTTCACTTCCAGGTCTAAAAAGCTCTGGATCCAGTTCAAATCAAATGAAGGAAATAGTGCAAAAGGATTCCAGGTCCCTTATGTAACCTATGATGGTAAGCCAAGAAAGTTTAAATGTGGGCATTTTATTTTTGTTATTTATATTTCTGCACTTCCATAATTGAAGAAGGTAGAAAGAGAAGATCTCAAGAAGATGAATAGGTAGTGAGCAGTTACTTAGCACCTGAACTTTCCAATATGCGAAACTGTTGCTTGCTGTACTCACAGATCATGCTAAATCATAAGTGATTTACTGATTTGGCCTACTATATATTGTGATCTCAGTCACTGTGGTTTGTAAATTGTAGGTTATGGCTAAGTCAACAAACCCATGGTTGAATTAATCATGTCTGGGCACAATATATGAATCCAATCATAAGATAAATAGTTTAGAAAATATTAGCAATCATTGTGTTACCTGATGTTTGAACTGTTCATCGATCTTTATAGATTGAAAGTCAGTCTTGAAAGAGGTTAACCTGGAATATAGATATACTGTATAGTCTCCTTTATTTGGGGGAAGTATATTTTCTTTATCTGAGAATACAGAATTAGAATTCCTGGATAGAAAATGGCAGTATTTGCATTGATGCAGCTTAAGGCTTTAATAAAGAACTTTTATGAAAAAAATGTGTTTGACTTGACAGATGGTTTTCTTAAATCATGCCACGTCTTACTAGTCAGCTATGGCAGGATGCATCATTTCTGCACAAAATGATGTAGCGTTAACTGTATCTGATCAGAGAAATTGTTGTGGTATTTAGGGCCATGATAGTAAGGCAAATACTGTAGCTGTTTTCAGAAAAAGTTCTGAATCTTTCATTGGTTTTTGTATTTTACGTAATATATTTTTTGCAAGATGTGTTCTGTGTAATATTGTGACTTCTCTATTCCTCAATTACTCTGTTATAGCTCAGATTATATTTTTAGATTTAGGAAGAACTATCATATGTTTTCACTCAGCCCTGGGAAGTTACTTTTTTCATAACTGTTCCAGTGGTTTCACACTTTCTGCTTTGAAGTTAAATTTGGGACTAATCAATATTTCAGGCAGAGACAAAGAGAACTAGCAGCTTTTTCTCCATATGATCTCTGGCCATTATTCCAAGTTAAACAGGAATTCCCTCAGCGTACTGACCATCCCCAAACAAATCTGGTTTGGGCATGATGAACTCCAAATGCCTGACATGTGTTTCTTTTAAAGAGCTAAATTTGGCTTTGCTGTAATCAGTGGTAACTTTCTGATCTCATTTTTCTGAGACAGCCTTTGTTCCAGAATTTTGGAACTGAGCTTGATATAATTCCCATAAAGAAAACACATTTGTGGAACTCACACGCTTGCTGTAAAGATAGCAAAAGCTATTGAGTAATGGTTTTATTATATAAAGACAGTGGAGAATAAGAATATTGATGGTGGATATTTTTAAAGCAGTAAATGTTAAGGAAAAAAATTGTGGAAATGTTGTACAAAGTAGAGTTTGTAAGAATACTCATGATTTGAACATAGTAGTATCAACCATGGAAAATTTTGTTTCTGTCTTTTTTATATAGTTCTCTTATTGAAATTATTTTGGAATATATTAAATCTTCAAATTACAGAAGTAAGCCTCTAATTTTGATTGTACATTACAAAAAAAAAATCTGTAACAACCCTGGGATGCTTTTAAATTGCTTTACATGTTTAAATGTAAATGATCTGTTTTTGCCTAAACGGAATATTTTTGACTCTTTAACAAGTAAGGAAGATTAATGCTGCTTTGTGTATTCTGAATAGAGGATTATCAGGAGCTAATAGAAGATATAGTCAGAGATGGTAGACTTTATGCATCAGAAAATCACCAAGAGATCCTTAAGGTAATCTTATTTCTAACCTTGCCTGGAAGAAAATAGGAGTTAAGCTTTTTTATGGTCAAAAGATTTATGCTGTTACTCATGATCTGTGAAGTGCAATGAGTTGGCAATGTATTAATAAATTCTTGTGACAGAGGGAAGTGGGTACCAACATAGGAAGGTAGGTATATCTTTCTAACAAGAAGAGCTATCTGCTACTATTATTATAATTATTGTATATTATACATATATTGCCTTGACACTCTCGAACTCTTGAGTAGCTAGTTGAGGCAGTGCTGATTAAAAGTACATTATTATTTGAAGCAAAAAAACAAAAGTGGTTTCTTTATTCATGTGCCCTGAGTCTATACAGGTAGTTCTTGACTTACAACTACAATTGAGCCCTAAGTTTCCTTTTGCTAAGAGAGACAGTTGTTAAATGTGAGTTTTGCTCTATTTTACAATTTTTCTTACCATAGTTGTTAAACCAGTCGCTGCATTTATTAAATTAGTAATACTATTGTTAAGTGAACCGGGCTTCCCCATTGACGTTGCTTGTCAGAAGGTCACAAAAGGGGAATCTAATGACCACGGGACACTGCAACCATCATAAATACATACCAGTTGCCAAGGGTCTGAATTCTGATCCTGTGCCCACAGGGATGCTGCAATGGTTATAAGTGTGAAAAATAGTCATGAGTCACTTTTTTCAATCCCATTGTAACTTCATACAGTCACTAAATGAACTGTTGTAAGCCGAGGACTATCTGTATATAGTTAAGGTGGGAGTGAAAAATTTCAGAGTAAAAAATACTGTTTCCAGCTTATGAAGTGGTAAAGACAATAGAAAACTTTGATCTTAACATTGCACTCTCTCTCTTCCCCCCTCCCTCCCCCCAACCTATGCCTTAGGATTCCATCCATACTGGCTTGGGCTTCTAAACAAAAGGCAGGATCTAAATCTGACATAAATAAAAGTAACAGGGCATCACCTGGCTAATAGTCCTTTTCTGACTTTAGTTTTTAATAGTTACTATATTAAATTATGCTTCTGTCTTATTGTTTATTTCAAATCATCATCAAATGATTAAAAATATTGACCTTATTCTTTCAGGATAAGAAGCTGATAAAGGCATTGTTTGATGTCTTGGCCCACCCACAGAATTACTTTAAGTATACAGCACAAGAATCTAGGGAAATGTTTCCAAGATCTTTCATTCGACTGTTGCGTTCTAAGGTCTCCAGATTTTTGAGACCTTACAAATAATGTATATTACATTTTTTTTAAAAAAAACTTTAAGAGTTCTTAACTGTACAGGCTTGTTTTATATTCTTTTTATAGGGCAGTCTGAAAAAAACTGACGAGCCAATTGTATACAACATGTATATTTTAAATTAAAAATGTAATTATTTCAGTCCATGGAGGTTTTTCTCTTGTCTCATAATCCACTGGATAACTGTCTATTTTAGAAAAGTTGCGCAATTGTCTTGGAAGTGATGCAGTGATAACTAATCATGATTAATATGAATATTCTTGAAAAGCAACTTTTAAAATGTCATGATGGCAGCAGTTTAAAAGAGTGAGTCCATTATTTTGGAAATGCCCAATCAGTCCACTTTGGAATTTCAGAGATGATGAAGACAACACAGGCTTAAATGTCGATGTGATATGAAAAAAGATTGGCTTTCAAAATGTGATTTCAAAACAACCAAAGCATGATGTGAGTCTTCTGCTTTTTCATTAAAAAGAAATAGTACAGTAGTTTTTTCAGGTGGAAAACTACTTTCAAGTGGATTTTAAAGTGAGAATGATAGTAATTCTTTTGTACAGAATCCTTTATTTCTCAACATTCTGGTAGCCAATTCAATATTTAACATTTATTTGAGTTGCCCTGGACGAAGAGTGAATATTTATGTTCTCAGATATTCCAATGCTAAGTGAATAAAAACTATGTGTAGGGAACGGGGGAAGGCATAATTTTCTTGTTTATATAAGAGGGCAAAGATATGTATTGATTATGACATTTCACTGTATAAATTTGTTAAGTTTATATTTAAAAATTACCTTTAAAAGGATAATTTAAATAAAGAAAATGCAGGAAATTTGTATGGCTCAGATAGAATTATGTTATGATGATATGCAGGAAAAAAGCTCTGTAAGACAATCTACATTATTCCACACCTTCCTTAATTAGTTTCTCAATGCTGTATGTAACTGTGTTCCTTTTTTTATATGCCACACACCTGTCCATAAATTAATGGCTGATTTCTTGACATGGGAAGTAATAATCTCCTTGTTTTCCACAAGAGGGCAGTATGTGGTACACATTTAATTCTAAATAAACAGTATCTTTTGTTTTATCCTTAATCAGTTTAAAAAACAGAGTAGTGTTCAAAAAGAGTGTGTAGCCATACACATGCAGAAACATAGAATGAATACAGGATGCCGGTTTCATCTGGCAATTAAATGCAGTCTTTAAGGCTTTTTCTTCAGATTCACTGTTAAAATGCTCTCTGATTAGAAAAAACAGAGTTTTCCTTACACAGAATATCAAAGATAAAGGTTATTGTGAATATCAGGGTGAGGCCAGTATGTAAGAGAATCTGTCATATTCCAGACTATTAATTGGCTTTCCTAATATTGCAGACTAGATGATCTGCGTAGTTTCTTCTAATTCCACAATTTATTTATTTACACACACACACACACACACACATATATATATATATACACACACATACAACTTATATGCCACCCGCCTCCCAATACCTCTGAGCAGCTTACAATTAAAAGTAAAAAAGAGAAGAGAAAAAAGAAGGAATACTCCAAAAACATCATATAACCAACATCCCACTTCCTCCCCAATCTAGCAGTGACTCAACCTTTGCTTTGCCCTAGCGGCCTAGCCTGAGAGAATAGACAGATCTTTAATAGCTTCTTGAACATTACTTTTTAATTCTATGATTCTAGGTTAACTTATGGCAAATGCATGTTGCATCAGTTATTGTTGCTTAGTGCTATTCATACTATGTGTGTGTAGAATGTTCCTCCAGCCATCTCATCTAATAATCAGCAGACAGCTCACCTAAGATATTTACAGTATTGGAACAAACACAGGGTTCAGACATATTAAAATAGGAACATAAGCTTCTAAGCCTACCATTTGGATGATCCATTCTTACATATCAATATACTTATAGTGTTCCAATTAGACAGTATTTTTCTTGAAGATCGGTTTGAAATTTGGAAGCCTTCGAAAGCTAACCAGATCCATCCATATCTTCTCTAATCTTTGAGCATCCTTGCTTCAAGTATGTCTTACGGGTCTAAAGGAATTCATAGATTCAGAAATTAATTCAGAAATGTATTTGTAGGAGGGAAAACTGCAAGTTCTGAAGAAATAGCAAACAGACTGGAAGATACTTGGATGTTCTGGCCATAGGTCATGAAGATCTTTCTGTAAAAGAGATGACTCACTGTTTTGAAAGGCTAAATGTTAGCTCATCAGTCAACTCAACTGTCATCAAAAATTTACTCTAGATATTTTGCACACCACAAAGAAGACTAAAACACTGAAAACACTCTGGGAATGTCACTTCAATTTAATTACTCAATATACAGCTTTAAAAGCTGCCCAGCTTTTAAAGACATCTGCAAAATTAAAAGAAGCAGCAGTAAAAGTTGTCTATATAGTATGTGCCATTTTATTCCAGTGGGACTAAAAGTTTGGTGGAGCCTCCCCGTTATCTCAGACTTCTGGTCCAAAATATTTGCAACTATCTCTGATACTGTTTCTGCAGTATTATACTCATTTTCTTTATTAAGCTTACTAACAAGCGAAGTGAGTTACAGTTCCTTTTGTATTTTATAAATGGTAATATTATCAGCTATTCTTAGTGGAAAATGGGAAAAGCTCTCCCCACTCAAAGCAAACTTTCAAAGGTTTTGTATGTAAGACTTCTATATGGACAGTGAGAACTAAACGCTTAACTATTTGATCAATCCTTGAAAGCATTAATGGATAATTAATTCAGAGTGTAATCATTGGAAGATTTAATTGGAATATAGAAAGTAGATATTACTTTGCCAATATTCCATTTCTGTTGTTGGTATTATTTGCTGTCAAATGTTGATTAAGGAGATATGTAAGATGATGTGTAAAATATAAACATTTTTTACTTCTATATATCAGGTCTTCTGATTTTTTTTAAAAGATGTACATATGAATGATACAGCTAATATACGTAATCCTTTGATCCCATCATTCAGATAAGTTCACAGAATTAGCAATTTGCTTTTATCACTCAATTTATTTTCAAATTTAATCAGGTTACAGCCTGGAAATACTGATAATAGTCAGTTTGAATATTATTAGCCAACCTGCTTTTCATATACACAACTGTCCATTTTTTGTGTCTGCATGGATCACTTTATTTAAGAAGTAATTTATACAGTACTAAGCATTGAAAGCAAAAAACTTAAAAGTTCAATGTGTAGTCCATACTTATTTTACCACTCTGTTGTGGGATATCTTCCAATGTCTGGGCAGTTCTAGTGGAATAAGATAACCCTTGAATTGGAATTATTCAGTTATGCAGCTTTTCTTATCATATTTATAGATAATGGACAGACCCAGTCTTATTTGTGATTTCATTAATGTGAGAAGGCTGTCTGCTTGGTGTTTTGCTTCCTTCTAGATAGAAGGGGTACAAATTTGACTTGCCAGACTTAAAAGCTAGCCCTATAAGTGTATGTTTAATAGTGGTTGAAACTGTAGGACATCACAGGTGCTGTTTATAGATAAACTCCCATTAAAGACACCAAAAGTACTTTTCTCCAGGTTACTTGGAAAATCTTAAATGCACTCAAGCAAACACTTCCACAGGACTTTCTTTCATTTCAGTGAGGATCAAGTGGTCAAGAAAAATATGTAAAACGCTCCAGATTTCCACACTGATAAAATATTAATGACTTAGTTAATAGTAGGGCTTCATAAATTGCTGTCATTCTTGGCAACGGTACATTTCACAACAAACGCACTAGTGATCGAAATTACTTAGAAGAAATTTAAAATAGTTCTCTTCATAAAGTTTTTAACTTCCTGTTTCCAAGGAGACCAATTGTGATAGACATGGGAAGCACTAAACTGCTTATTTAAAGTTTTATTTTCTGACTAAATAAATAAGAGTGATCGGATAGAATTTCTTCCTAAAATTTGGTTAACTGTTGCTCTTTTCATAAAGTCAGAGGAACTGAAAGTTCATTGCCAAGAGAGTGGCACAAAAAAAGCAAACTCTTATTTCCAGCTTAAATACATAGTTACAAAGTGTTATTTGTTTTAATGTGGAACCAATTCGTATTATTTTATTGCTAAAGAACATCCCAAAAAAAGTTAGAATGATATTCACCAATTATTACTTCAACTTGTGGAAAGTTAAAGGGGAATCACTCAATTTTTACTTACCTTTGCCATCAAAATGATGTTGCAAAAAGAATAGTAAAGATACTACCTCGACACCCCCCCCACCTGCCCGCCCTTTTACAAAGCCTGCAGTAACAGCAGATGCTTTTCAGAAAGAAGAGTGGAAAACAGAAATAAAAATGTAGGCTGCATTTCCACTTCTCAAGCTCCTCAGAATTAAATAACTGTTTCCAAAATTTGAGAGAGTTTTAAAAGCCATTCGTGATTCAATGGCTGAGGGGCCAGATGGAGATAAAATGCTTCTGCAAAAATGAGAACAGATTTATACTTTTATGCTTTCTCCTATAATTTTTTTAAGTGTTTCTAATGGGCACACCTGCAATCCTTTTTTCACTAGCTACAAGTTACAAGTATATGTTGCACTGTTATGTGAAATTAGCATGTTGGCAAATAATTTGAGGCTGGATCATTTGCTTCCTGTTTGTGGAAACTTGTTGAAATTAATGAAGATACAAAATGCAATGAGCCTGTCTCCTTCCCACTCCCACTCGCCAGACGGCTTGTGGGGAAGAAGCTGCTCTTCATGTCATTGAAGGTATCAGAGCCAAATCTTCAGCCCAGAAATGGTATTTTCTGTTGAAATGACATATCAATTTACTGTATATGCTTGAAATAAAACGATACCCTAGTGCAGTGATGGCGAACCTTTTAGAGGCCGAGTGCCCAAGCTGCAACCCAAAACCCACTTATTTATCGCCGGGTGCCAGGTGGGCATGGCTGTGGTCATGGCAGATTGGGTGGGTGTGGCCAAGGTGGGCATGATCACCTCAATGTTGCTCGTGGG